ATGAGATATGCATACCCGGAGGAAATTAAAGAAATCCGAATTTTTGGCATAAGACTCGAACCCACGACCTTCCGATCAGCGTATTGGATGCTCTACCAGTGTGATATGAGGGACTGGTGTGAGGCTATCCGTCTAACCACGTCCATGGTGACAAACGTCCAGCATACTGCTTCGACAAAAATGATGAATGTGATGCTTTTGCACAATGATGATGTAAATGAAGACGGTAGATGTTAAGCATGGTTATTTACCTTAAAGATGACGTAATGATGGTGGAACTCTTTCACAACACATTTGCTGAGGGATTATAGATTTCTCATAGAGTCACGTTCTTGTCTAGTTTATGAGGACACTAAGATATTGCTTTATTAGCTCTCTGTAAGTCATGTTTATTTCTTGCATTTGCAGCCATTATGATACCATCTGAATCTTCTGCAAATTGTCCTGTAGAGGCTAAATTCTTATATTTTTAGCGAGTGCTTCTAAGTTCACAGAGGAGCAATCTAGTGACTCTTTGAGGACAATTTTTGATTTACGAGTGGTATCCTCAAAGATACTGTCAAGCCAATTGTATGGTGGGAGGAAAACTGGCTCAACTTCTTTTAGCACAAACATTAAAAAAACAAAAGAGCAAGAATCCAGATGCAATATAGTTTTCCTTATTCTTTAAAGAACGACGAACCATGACTTGGTATCAAAGGAACACTTTTTCCCACCTGTGATTTCTTTGATAACAAGTCAGACAGAGTATATATGTTGTTAATGAGTGACTTTATTAAGGTCAGTTCGTTCCTGTGTCCAAACATAGAATTACTTTTCTATATTATTTGTTTCTCCTTGAGAATTTGGTTCACAATACTGACCAATTTCGTCACAAAGAGTGAGGAAATTTGAACAGGAATATCGGTTCTACGGCAATCCATCACATTGTTACTTATGCAGTTCTATTCACCAATAATGCCTGGACGTGTAGGTTGATTATCGGAGATTATTAATCGTTTAATATGGAGCTTAATGTTATGAGGTTTGTCTCTACATCAGATTTCGAACAAAACTAAGTCAGTACGCCACCTACAAATCACGATATTTTGCTTTCGGATCTTCGTCTGATAAATGTTTATTTTTGGTAAGGCGACGGCTATGATAAGATGGAGTGCTTTCAGCCCAGAGAAAGTTTGAGCTATCATTTCATTATCATAGGAAACGGCCATTACATTTATATATATTCGAGGAATGGCAGTCCAAGAGATAAAGCAAGACTTAAGAGTCCCTTGATGACTGGTACGCAGTGTATGACGTTCTACTACAATTTCTACGGCCAAACAATGAGTTGCGTTATTGTTTACATCAAAACTACTGACGGTACTGAGAAAGTTGTGTGGATCAAGTCGGGCCACTGGGGAGACCGCTGGATCAAAACACAGATTGAGATCAGTGAAGAGAAGGCCAGCTATCGGGTTAGTTATCAATTCCCTTCTCCTAAATTTCTGTTTAAATCCGAAAGGACTAGAAGTGCCATGACCAGAGTATAGCTGATTACTCACCCCACACTAAGTAGGTGATATGAACGATACTTAGGAAACTGTAAATTTCCCACAGTAGGCTAGGCTGGTTGAAGGGTATTAGGGCAGTACTGGGAATTCGATATACAGTTTCAAAATCACACATAGAGAAGAATAAGTGGAAAATGATCAATAAGTTGCAGGTTTAGAGCAGGATTCTGACTGTCGCATGCCATGGTCATACTCGTTGAGGGAGATTTCTCAAAAATAAAAGTTATTCAACGATTTTTGTGAAACTTTCTATGGATGTTCCGCACCAATCACTGCTTCGATTAAAAGAATGTAGGTCACTATGCTAACAAGATATGATGGGCCAATGTTACTCCACTCATGCCTGTCATAGCACTAATCAAGAGCGATATTCCATTGGTTTATGGTACATTTGCGGCGTCTGTAAGAAAGATTTTTAAAAGTTATGATTAAACAAAGCAGTTGACCATATGAAACCATCTAATATGTGGAAATATTTCACAATTTTCAAACGAAATTGACGAAAACCGTTCGTCGAGTCGTTGTTCTCAGCTTCAAAAGTTGCATCCCACTTAAGTTAGTCTCTTCAAAGGAGACTCATTTTCCCATTAAAATTCTGCAGAAAAATGCAAGTTACCGCGCTCGTTTGAGAGCGAAAGACCATCTTCCTATCAAACTCGTCCATTGAAAGTGAGAAAAGCACTTAAAGGTGATATTATCTTTCCCGTTTCCATAATGGTTACAAGATAATGAATGGCCTTATGGTCATACGCAAAAGCAGTGAGACGATAATAGGTGAACCTGGCTTTCAATAAAGAAATGCTTTTTTCTACAAATGATGACCTAGAGGAAATGCAAAATTTCCAGGGCGGTTTTTTTTTTCATAAATTAGATCATTGTGGAGGGAGTTAGAGGAAGTTTGCACCTTGGCGACGCAGCCTTGGACCAGTTTCATTTCATAAATGGATCATGCCAGCAAGGTTTGTAGATGACCGCTTTGGTATTTTCTAAATCAAACGACAAGAAAGGAACACATATTTCCAAAACTATAATCAGTCACACATTCCCATTGGAAAAAATTACTGAGTCCATTGAACATACCTCGAAATCTAAAGCGTGCAAGAATTAGACGACAAAGAGTACCAGAAAATAGAGAAAAAAAGTTTGTTTCGCAAGCGGACGGCTGAGCATACGTTTTCTGTATGCTTCTCAAGTTATTATCGTCCGCACTGAAAAACCGACTGCACTTAATTGTTCCTTACTTACTGGCACTTAACTCATACGTAGTCGATACTAAAATGAACACGGTTTCAACTGAAAGTCATCTCTAAGAGTAAGAATCACCACAATTTGAGATGAATAATGCCTTTTTCAGCCCGCCCTGTGTTTCGCGTCATGTCAACGAGGGAAGACAACAACAACATTTATCGCGTGCATGCAGTACCAGCCCACGACCAATGGCTACACATGTTCTCATTTACAACTGGTCAAAGCCGGTGCAAAGAAAACGATACCATGTATTTCATTTATCCTCCGTCCAGATCCGGAAAGTCAATCATATCCTCAACCCTTCATCTCAATGACTCTGACCGTTTTCCAAATGATTTCTTCGTCGCTGGAAGAAATGAACACACCAATGATATTTTTGAGTTAAACATAAATTCTAACATTTCCAATAAGATAACCGTCTCAAACCAATCAACCGACTGTTGCTATTCAGCTCGGACAAGCAGAATTCCAGTTATACTTCTTCCGGGTAAGTTAGCACTAGCTGCAGCGTGTCTGGCATTTGTCTAGGAATTCTTTCTGTGCGACATTCCCGCTGTTAGAGTTGTAAAGTAAAATCCAGATCATAACAAAATATTTTAAGCACTTGATAGAATGTTTACGTTATAGCAAAGTTCGTTGATGTAAATGTGACTTCGGGATTCTTTTCCACACATTTGGTTCTGTTTGGAAAGATGGAAATTGTTCATTTGTAGAAACCAAAAAAAGTGAACGGTGCTTTTTCTTCGTTCTGATTGAGAATATCTGAGGTGGCCGGGAAAGCACAATTTCCCATTAAACATCCCGAGAAAAAAATAAGATAGCTCCTTCGATCTCCTATTAATTTCTCGTTTGGTATGATTGCAAAGTTCCTTTAATCATTTCTTCCTCACTTAACACTTTTGATTTGTCTATTCCAATAATGCATTTTGTCGAAGAGAGTAACAGAAGCTGTTATCCTGGCTGGAAAGCTGTCGGATCGACTTGTCTTCGTTTCTTTGTCAACACGAGAAGGACCTGGGACGGCGCTCGTGCATTTTGTCGGCGCCTAGGAGGAGACCTAGCATTACCAAAGATGTCTGAGCCTTTCAGTACAACTTTGACGGAACTACTTATGCTCTTGACCAACGCAGAGACCGACCTTTATGTTGGATTTCTTCGATCGAGGCTCAGGGTTGGAGCTGACAAGTGGATTTGGAACGACGGAAAGACAGTGGACAGGCAGCAGTTTAAACGCGGTTATCCGCTATACGGTTTAATGAAATCGTGCGGCGCGTTGAGTAAGGATGACATGAAGCTTTTGAATACTGACTGTAGCAATATGAATGGATTCATATGTGAAAGCTACCAAGGTGCGTTGAGCAACTTCCAACGTCATTTAAACCATATGAAAATAGAGTTCTTAAGCATAATGTACAAATAAATTGCTATAAGATTCCCAGGCAAGCAAAGTTTTTGCCACTGACCTTTCATGTGTATGACCTGAAGATCAGTAAATAAAAAATGTTATGAAACTAATCTTCTATTCATCTTCTTTAATTCATGAATCTGATGAGGGTAATGACTTCAAACATTTAGTCTCGCAGTATTTTCACCTTTTGAAAAATTTCACGGCTTAAATTGATTTGTTTCCCTACTCGAAACAGTGAATGTGATCAAGTATAAAACTGATAGCAATGACGTTTTTGAGGGAAACGTCTCAATGACAGCGGCGGACCAGTCTCAGTTGTTTGGTCCTTTATTCCAGAGAGAGGTAACCTCCATTTCTTATTTCAATTAATTTTTCTCACATGTAACTGAGATTTGAAGTGAGTTTTAAGAATTTTTGCTCGTTTGCTTGCATAGGGAAGCGCCCGGAAATGGATAATTACACTTACCAGGCGGATCTGGGTATTCTCAGCTACAGTAGACATGTTTATCAGCTGCTGTGATCAACATACAAAAACGACAAAGTTGTTAGTATCTGATGGAAACATGTTTTACACAGAGTGTGAAGAAACTGCTATCGTCAACCATCCGCCTACTACTTTTGCGTTTCGATGTACACCACCAAGGAGCGGTACACAGGTCCTATTAGAGCTCCTTGACCATCAGTGGAATCCCCCCATCAATAGTGTTGCGGTGTCTGGCTTCGGTAAGTTAGACACATACAGAGAAGTGTAGTTTGTACGTCACTAGTTGGAGAAGACTTCTATGACTGTTGGATCGCTGTCCTTTCAATTCACCATCAGTTGCTCCTCCTGAGATCACACACTAAGATAGGTCACATACCCGCATTGGTCAGACATGTACATATCAGACTTTTTCTCATGTATTGCTAGGATTAGTAATGTCAAAGCGTCCGGGTGTGTCGCGCAAGATGAAGATCACGAGTACATCAGTTTTAAGTCAAATCGCCATGAGAGTGTGAGGACAAATATATTTCAGGATTCCTGGGGAAGATTAATACCACCAGACATCCGATTACTTAAAAAAATTTCTATGGAAAATTTCTAGTACATAAACGGTCATGACTTAGAGTACTGAATAAGAAAACACGGTAATAAATTAATAGACTTTCCTGTTGTGATACCCTTGCTCTATCGAAGGTAGAGCCATCATGGAAGAAGGGCTAAAGAATAAGTTTAGCAAAGCGAAATCTCAAAACTTTACTGGTCTAATAACTCTTCACAAAGAATTTTTTTATCAGGGTTCACTAATTCGTACTATTACTGACATATCAGTGTTTGTCCCTCGATTATATTATTTGTAATTTAAATTGTGATGTTTCGACTGCACAATGCATAAACATCAACTTTTTAAAACAAAATGTATGGAATAATCACGTGGTGGTTTACATCAAAGGTGACCACACTGTTGGAACACTTTGTTTATTCACAGATTAATACTGTAGAGAAGATTAGTTTCAGACGAGTATGTTTTGATTGACAAATAACGCTTTCAATTAGTTGTCATCAGTAAAAGTTTTGTTCATGTTGCTAAGCTAGACTCCTCATGCAAACCTTTCCTTGGCAGACTCTATTGGCAAAGCTCATGGAACTAGTAGAGAATTATGGTATAGGTACGTTAACACTGAAGGATTTGCCACACTTCGCGAGAATCCAATTTTTGAACAGCCACCGGATGGATACACAACGACATTTAATATGTCTGCCGCATTTGAAGTCAGCGACAACTATGGTGAACGATTGACGGCTTACCTGAAGGTACTCTTCATGTAGGACAATTTGTCAAGAGGTGTCATTACAACATTTAAATAAAGTTCGGAAGTTGTTATCCTAACTGATCTCATTAGCCTTACGAACCGTTTCAAACCTTTACCAAAAATCATGGAAGAGTGTCTAACCTCAGCTAATTCTTCACATTGAAGGTCATTTTACCAAATATTGACGATGGGCACACTTTCTATTTGCTAGACTTTACGTGCTAATGACAAGTAAAACGACACATTTAGGTGTAAATAAGCTAAATCGACAACAGTTTCCTTTTGCCTGGGCATTTAAGTTAGACATCAAGCATTAACCACACAAACATTTTCTGAAACCCACTCGTCTTTACTCTTAAGGTACCGAAGAGTGGGAACTATACTTTGTCGTTGTCTTGTGGAGATGAATGCGAATTGTGGTACACAGAATATCACGAAGAAGAACTATCATTTGAGGAAAAGTTACCTTCCAATTCGGGAATAGTTGAGACCATGTTGATACAGTTACGCAGATGGACAATTTACGACGAGCCAGACAGGTGGGGCTTTACCGAGCCATTTGAATTTTATGTATGCAACGTCATATTTGACGTAATTGTGTACTTTTGGTATTCTAGATGCCTGAGGAAGGAAGCCAAGTCAGGGGTGTACCTAAATAAATGTCGGTTATATGCACTGCAAGTGTATATGAAGGACGAAATGCAATTTAAATGTTTATCTGTTGGAATTAGTGACCAGACATTTATAAAGGAAGAACCTATTCAAGGCAATCATCTGTATGCATTTCCACCTGGTGAGTTTTATTTAAAGTGGAATTCCAGAATTTACTGCGTTTTATGCCGTGGTCTTGAGCGCTTGACGTGTGGAAATATCTTTCTCAAACGTTAAAGAACAGCAGCCTTCATCTTGGGCTCAAATTTGTAAAACTATAATTTGACGGATAATCTACCTATGCAGGTGACATTTACTCAATTGTATCGTTTGTTTTTGTCCTTTAAACAGGAAAAAGAACCTTAAGTTTTACCATTCTGCAACCAGATTATATCAATGCGAAAGTATTAGCTCTTGGATCCGTTTTACGCATTAGGGGCAAGTTACATATTCTTCTTGTATTTTTCTTATAGAGAGCATGAAAGCAAGAAGCTCATGTCCATAGGTTTAGAGTTTTGTTAATGAATTCATATTTTTGTATAACATAAAACGTTACAACGGTCATCCTTTTATCAGTGATAACGTACTAATGGGCGGACAAGCCAACCGATTCATCGACCTTCTGACTGTTTGACTGACTGATTTAGGGCTAACTTAAAAAATTATCCTAAAGACAGACCGAACTAAGACCAGTCTGGACTTATTAAAATTATTTTGTTTTTAGCATCGTACAAGTACTGTTGTCAAGGCATGTACTGCCCAGATTGTCCATTATTACTGGAGTTCCATGCCTTTGGTAATAAATACCTTGTTAATCCACATGTCAACTTAACATGCTCAGAAAACATGTTCGAGAAAGAAATAGATGTAATTGCTCAGCCTGGAGTCCATTCCTTGAAGGTATGGACAGTTGTAGACATATTGTGCATAATTTAATGAGACTGAGCCAAAATCGTTTGCGATAAAAGAAACAGTCATCCCATCCCATCGCAAGAAATTGTACATGCATCAAAAGGTAATTAGTCCGTGACTTTTATGGAAAAGGAGAACCGGAAATGATGGAGAAACCTCCATTGGGAAAAATTAGAACTTAAACAAATTTCAGCTGCAAATGAAGCCAGAATACAAATTGTACTTTGGTGATAATAAAACCGGGGATAAAAGCAGTCGCCGTCGTAGAGGTATATACACTTTGTGCAATTTTCATTTCCAACATTTCTCTCCATGTTGTGTTGTACTTTCAGTTCAAGAGGCCCAAGGCAGTCTGAGCTAAATTAATGCACCATGTGGTGTTTAATTTTGCGCCTAAGTTGGAAGCTAAGCTTGGTGCCTTCCCACAAAAGCCTCATTAAACTGACTTGAAAATAAATTCCCAATTACCAGGGCTTTAAAATTATTGCACATTTCTATGTTGAGTGATAAGTTACGAAATTGTTAAAAATATCAACTTTAACTGTATTCATAGATTTATTACTCATTCACAAATGACTCAACAGAGTGGAGGGGAAAACAAAAAGTTGCTGATGTTATGGTTAAAGGTTAGCAGTCGTCCAATTTATGAACTAAAAAGCGTTCTATTTTTCGCAATTAAAACTGTATCTAGGTAATTGTTTTTATACTTAGATTCATGCCTTCTTCTGGACGATGTAGTACTGAAAGACTATTCTCAATTTTCATACATTTCAGTTGCAACCATTTCCAAATTAGCATCAGATAACATCCAAGATTGGACACTCAACGGATGGATGGTATCTGGTAAAAACATAAAACAATTTATTGCAAGTTTCTGCTTTTGATGAGCAAGTTCCTTGTAACCTTTTAGTAAACTCTTATTTCCTTTACTTCTAGGAGGTGTTGGTATGGTCAATGAACTCCCTAATGGCAAAATAGAAAGCCCATTGCTGCCATGGAAACCATTTTACATGGACGTTGGGTTATGCCTCCGCTTTAAATTCACACTTTCTACTCATTTTCATCCTTCATTGAATGTGTTTATTAAAACTCCACAACAAACAGTTTTGATTTGGAAATTGCGAGGCCACCAAGGGAACGAACCCAACATCGCAACAGTCTCGTGGAAGCCGCTAGAGAAAATTCAAGTATACAAAACTTTTTATTCAGCTGGTATTGAAATATCACGTGACTGATCTTTGTATAAAAATCCTTCATTCACTGCAGTACTCCGTTGCTTTCCAGATTATTTTCGAGGTCCTTGGGTCTGCAAATGGTACACCTAACATAGTTGTCGACAATATTACAATAACGACTGAAACATGCGCACTGACACCATCTCATGCTTCTCCAGGTAAAAGATTGCAAACCTTGTTTTCGTTACATTATAAGGAGCTTGTTCAGTGTTAGAAATACTCTGACTTATAGCGCAGGCTCACCGCTTCATTAATATTAAGAGTCCTTCCTCAGGAGAGTGGTGAACCGCGCTTAAACAATAACTTTTTGGAAGTTACAAAATATAAAAATATATAAAACAGAGATATATAGGGATACGAGCAATTTTCCCCTACATAATCAGAAAATGATAAGAAATTCCTTACGTCGTTTGGTAATGAATAATGTTTTTGATAGATTTTGCTTGCAGTCCAAATGATTATCAATGCGATAATGGTGAATGTACAAGCTCCTCACAGCGCTGTGATAACGACGTCAACTGTATGGACGGTTCAGATGAAAAGGGCTGCACTTGCCTAACTGTTGAGTTATCATGTTCGACTAGTAGCTGTGTTCCATCTAATAAACTGTGCAATGGATTCGATGACTGCTCAGATGGAAAAGATGAAAAAATCTGTGGTAAGCTCTCTCTACATATATCATTATACTTTTAAAAAGGTACTTTCTTGCTGAATCCACGAAATTTAAACATGTGCGAGTTTGCCCTGTTTAGTTTCGGGAGTCACCTCCTCGAGCCTTTTTAGTGCTTTATTTTTATTTTTTTATAAGAACTAGGAGTGATTATCATTCTCTTTAAAACACCTTTAAATTTGTCAAATGGCAATCTGTTTAAGAGTTTGAAGAGAAAGAGCTGAAAATGTTTCAGAGATAAATTTTATTTTTCTTGCAGGAGCTACATGCCCTAGTAACATGTTTCAATGCGTAGACGGGACGTGTATCCCATGGTCGTCCACTTGTCGCCGTTACAACTACCCGGTTTGTCAAGATGACACACACCAACCATCAATTTGCAGTGAGTGTTTTAAGACATGCGCATGAAGACCTTTAAACTTTACCCTACTTTGGTTCACGGAACGTCCATACAACTGAGCGGAATGGTTAAAATGACAGAATTTGTTAAAAGATGTAAGCGAATTTGCTCAATAATGTACTATTAATTCCACAGCAGCCAATGATTGTCCGCTGAACAACCTCAAATGTAAAGACAACAGCTCCTCAAGGAATTGTGATAAGTACTTTAGAGGTAAACAAACTTTATCATCGTGTATACAACTGGCTGATTTCCATAATTCAAATCATAGAAACAGTACACAACTCGGGGAAACTGCTATGATTTTTTGCAAATAAAGACGTGACATAAATGCAAATGAATTGCTATCAGCATTTTTTGTACTCTTCCTTTAGGTCACTGCAGTTTTGAAAACGGCTTTTGTGGACTGAAACATGACAAAAATACTGAATCTCAGTGGCTATTGAATTCTGGAAAGACCTCTTCGGCGCACACTGGTCCAAGTTATGATCACACCACATTTTCTGAAAAAGGTAGGTTATCCTGGTCTAGCCTCTTTCATCACAGAGGGGAAGCTTCTTTATGTAAATGTACTCATTGTTTTTTAAGGTGCCTACATCTACATAGAAGCCTCAAACCGTCTCCATGGTGATCGAGCGCGTCTGACAAGCGATTGGTTAAAGCCGAATAAGATTATTTGTCTTCAGTTCTGGTATCACATGTTTGGCAAACACATAGGAGAGCTGATTGTTTACATGGCTACTCACAGTTCGGAAACGATTGTTTGGCATGTCTCAGGAAACCAAGGAAACTCTTGGTTGCTGGCAAAGACGACATTACAAGCTGACAGCCGTTATAAGGTTTAGTTGATGACACAGTTAGATGACCAAATCTCATCTTACGCCTGTCAATGTAGTGATATCGAAAAATGCTGAATTAGTTAAATTTTTTTTAAATTTAACAATTTCTCTTTAATTTTCAACTCAGTGAACTTTAATATTTTATTTAGTTTATCCTAGAAGGAGTTTCTGTAGAGGGAAATGAGGGAGATATAGCCATAGATGACATCACAGTCCTGGATGAAAGCTGTCACACAAACAACAAATGGGGTAATGGAATTAATTTAAGTCCAGTCTTACCCTATGTAGATATACAGTGCAAAAGATCTCTCCATCACACTACATCTATGCTCTTTCAAAGCTGGTTTTCACCGGCGACAAAATCGGGGTCAAATACAAAATAACTTAATGAAAATCAGATAGCCACTTCTTTTATAATCTGAACTATATTAGGAAACGCCGGCAAAAACGAAAACATGATAAACAACATGATAAAATACTTGAAGAAATAAAAACTTTCGATTCTCGCTACTAAGATTCTGGGTGGCTTATGATGATGTCGTACTTTTGTGTTGTGCAAACTCTATTCTTACATCTAAAATGTTTAGTTTGCATTACTATAGATCCACACTGCTATTTTGACGACAAAATATGCAACTGGGACATGGATGGATCCTGGTTTCTGAAAGAACTCAGCGGAAGCCGAAAAGGTTTTTAAAATTTTCCTTTTTGTCAAAGCCATGCAGGAGATGTCAGTGGAACTAAAACTTTCCTCTGTCATATAATGTAGATATGGGTCACCCACATCTACGTCCAATGACTAATCAGCGATTCGACAAGTAGCTGGTTCCAAACGTAGGAAAAAAAAAGCCATGTGACTTTCTCCTCTATGATTATCATTTGAACATTTCTCAGTGTTAGATGTCCTTTTATCTTTGGTTTGTTTTCATGCAGAATAATAACCTGAATTTTTATTGCAAATAAACTGGAAAATTGAGGATGATTTATTGAGTAGTCCTATCGTGCAAGTTCAAACTGTCATTTTCAATTGCATTGAAGTTCCTCACGATACATCGTCATTAAAAGGGCTGGGATAATTAACAACTATTCACCTCAGTGTCGGTGGCTAGTATTGAAAACACTAGGGAATATTTCTTTTAGTATATACTAAAACAGTTGGAAAAAATAGCGCAAAAAGTGATTTTAACTCATTTATTCTTTCAACGATTACAATATATTCAGGCGCAAATCCCGCGCGAGTAGTTTAAAGGTGAATAGCAGAGGATATTCAGAGTTTGAGTAGCCAATCAGAGCGCATCTTCAACATTATTCACTTTTTTAGTGAATACTAACGATGATTAGTATTACAGGCAAGGGTCTACTCATATAAATGTGCAATATTTACATAGACAAAAAAATGTTTCAACAATAGTTGTTATTCTGTAGGTGGCTTCCTTAGTTTAAGGCCAGAGGGCAAGACAGTAAAGGGAACAATAACTTCCCCCGTGTTTAGCGGCAACGAATGGAAGTGTATGCGCTTCTGGTACAGAATCGAATCGGGACGTGACGTCCAATTAAGAGTATTCCTAAATGTATCAGATGCATTACAACAGCTTTGGACAACATCTCATAGAAAAACTGGTTGGAACTTTGTTCAGCTGCCAATCGACGCCGAGGGAACAACCCAGGTGAATATTATGTACATAAACCTCATTCTTACTACTCAGACGTTTATGGCAGTTTCGAAAACACAGTGTTTATTTGCCCTACCAGATACTGGGTAACAACTTATCCAACGAGAACAAGTACCTTGACCGTGTTTTTTCAAAGAACAACTACAACGAAGACTTCATCCAACGTAACACTCAGCGACCTACTACTACTACCGAAACTAACGACAACGTAACTCCTACGACTACAGAAACTATACCGTACATAAAGGGCATATCTGAGAACATCTCGCACATCCCACAACCATTCAATTCCAGAACCGGATGCTGAACAGTTTTTCTCTAGAATCAGTCATTACTCTCTTATTAATTGTTCGTACTCTGAGTCACGGCTTATCTCACAAAGACCTCCTTTTATTGTCAGATCGCAATAGCCGGTACATGTCGAGAAACTTCTATTGATATCGATGATGTATCCTTCAGTAAACAGCGCTGTAATGAAATACCATGGGCTCCCTATCAGGGTATGTATTAGACACCCGAGATAACTTTTGCCTGGTTTTACGACACTCAACAGATCCTAATGAGCGTGAATTATTTCGGCTGACGTGATATTATAGATTATCATCAGGAAGCTTTCTTACAGCGAGAGAAGGGAAAAGAGCCAAATTTAACTGTTTTGCTGCTCTTGTTCAAGATAATGTGAAATGTGTGAGTGTAACCAGGTAACACGAGTAAAATATCTGGAAGTTCGTGTTATATTTCAAATAGCAGGTTACGGATTAACCTTCTAGTACAGAAAAATGTAACGAACGACGTCACTTAATAGATTGTGCTGGTTCCATTGTTCATATTTTTACTATTTCTTGTTTAGAATTTCTTCCTCCTTTACTTCCTGGCTGTCTGAGCCCTCTTGGAATGCAAAACGGCCGAATATTGAACTCTGCAATAACAGCTTCATCTTACTACAGAAGAAGGTCGGCTCCTAACAGAGCGAGGCTTCACATGGCTTTACCTGATAAATATATCTCAGGTGGTTTCACAGGGGGCTGGTGTCAGAATCCTAGTTCAAAGTACCAGTGGCTTCAAGTTGACTTTGGTTTCATAGCAAGAGTAGGCAAGGTTGCTACTCAAGGAAAACAGGAATTTGATTTCTGGGTTACAAAATATTTCCTAGCTTATAAACGAGACAGTAAGAGAAAGCGGTTGCTATATCGACAACATGGAAACGTAAAGGTAGGACGATTGAGATGTGTGGTTGTATTTGGCACATGAAATGACTTACGCTTGTGCAGTTTAATTAGCTGCAAAATTTCACAATCTTTCTGGTCCCATCAAAGCCTGCGTGGCAATAGCGCATTCGATTTAATAACCGAGTGAAAATCCAATTTTAACGTATGCATCATAATTAGCGATGTATTCTATACAAAACGAATGTTAACCGTCACTGCTCTCCTGCAGGTATCACAGCGACTTCAACCTCACATCAGTATTAAAATTTTTACCATTTAAATTCTTAACGATCTTTAAGACAAAAGGTTCAGTTGGACAAAACTTTTCATGTAGTTGCGTTGTCTGCAAATTTAAAGATGCCGCTTTTCAGAACTGTATTTTGATAGCCGTACTTTCCTTATCGCGCCCGTGCGCCGAGTCAAGACACGAGTATCTCTGTAATAAATGATTACAAACATCAGTCTATTCTCTAATCATTTGTTCGCATAGCCCTGTTGGATTTAAGGAGCTGTTAATCATGTTTATGGTATATTATTCAGTTTTTTACAGAAAAGCCCTGAACGGGAAGTCTTCTAAAAACCTGTCTTCTTCATGTGATAATCTTTTATCTTAATTTGCTCTATTCCTATGTAAACCAAACAAAGTTCACATTCTGAATTTATTTTTACTTGTAATTCTGTAGATATTTGATGGTAATTTTGACCGACATACAGTGGTAAGCCACCATCTTGTCCCTCGTATCACCGCCCAGTTTGTCAGAATTTACCCATACAGATTCAATCAGTTTGGCTGTCTTCGAGTTGAATACTATGGATGTCCGGCTGGTGCGTTATATTTCAATTCCTCTAGAACAAAGTTGATTGGAATACTCAATTAACCATATTATTTTTCCGTTGTTGTTTCCTTTTATCTTTTTAACAGATAAAGTTAATATCACTCGTGGAATTCCGCTCTGTTATGCTCCCCTGGGAATGCAAAATGGACAGATACCCAACGCATCTGTAACAGCATCGTCAAACTTCGGCTCCGCTCACCGCGCGCGGCTGTACACCGTAGCAGAGGGTGGTAAACCTGGAGCCTGGGTGGCCGCCGTATCAGATACGAACCAGTGGCTTCAGGTGAAACCATGCATTGTTCTACCGTAAGCATTTACGGAAACACAGCGACTCATCCTGTTAGGAGAATTTTGAAGTGATAGTTGAGAGTTATTCCGTATCGCATTGATTTTACTCTAGTACGTTATGTGAGATCATAGTAGTTGAAAGACAACAACAAATTTCTTTACCAACATAGTCTCATTATTTTAGTGCGCCTGCGTAGCACGTATAAAGTAAAGGCTTGGGTTCGCGAGTAGAGATAACATCTGAGAGACTGTGAGAACTTATGCGTGATATTTTCTGTCTTTTATTGGGCAAATCACCATTTAAGAACGCCAGGACTCTTAATAACTGAAGCCATCGGACTCTTTGTCGTATACATAATATAAGACACCTTTCAAGATATTGGCAATTTTTTTATGAGCCAGTCTTTTACTTTGAAAAAGTATATCATAAACGCCAAAATTTTATTTTTGTTTACAGATCGACCTCGGAACTCTTGCCATGATAAAACGTCTGGATACTCAAGGACGACACGGGGTTTCCGAATGGGTCAGCAGTTTTACCCTATCCTACAGTTCAGTGGATAGCAACTTCAAATTTTATGCTCAGGTATACGTGGAGAACAATTCATCTTATTTCTCGAGTTTCTTCAATCTATGAAATTTTTCCCCTTCATTTCTGCATTTGCCCAATCATTTTGCAGCTTAAAATGGTAACACTGCGATACAATCACTAAGTGCACAATGCCAGTTCTGCAACCCCCTTCCTCACCGTGTTTTCACATGCCTTTCAGATAGTTCTTTTTGCCCGCGTGTAAAAAATGCACTTTCACACGATGCATTTACTGTAGAACCTGGACGGCGATCTGTGACTCAAGACGAAAAAATCTGGGTTTTAAACTAAGGATTCCAACAGAGCGCCCAAGGGTTCTTCAGTACATCAATGATACCTTTTTTATTTAAGAAACTGTATATTTAAATATCTTGATTAAATTTCTATAAAGAAACGAAAGAGGGAAATTAACGAGGTAAAACAAACAAAAAAGGTCGTAACTTGCCCAAAATCTTAGATCTACATTTATAATCTCATTATTCAGATATTATGTATTTGAAATTTCAATAATAGTCACAGAGGAGGCTAAGCGTTTTATTGCGCGGGAGTGGAGGGACTCATCTGGCAACAAATCCATTGATACTCCGTTCGCTACCGCGGTGTCATTATCAGCAGATGAGTTTGACGAGGTTGTTGCTACTTCTTAACTTGCAAAAATAGTCTTGAAATGAAGGGTCGCTTATAGTGCTTTATTTCTGTTGTTGTTAGATTTTTAAAGCTAACAGAAATCAAAACACAATAGCAGTAAACACAATCATCCCGTCCATATTGGCCAGGTTTCTTCGTATTCATCCTCGCACCTGGGTTAATGGGGTGGCTTTGAGAATTGAAATCTACGGCTGCTTTGCAGGTGATCTACTTTTATTTATTTGTTTTTGTTATTTTTCATAAAAACTGAAGTGCACTACGAATTTTGTACAAATTCTCTTCCTATAGGAGCCACTAATATAAGCCAGACCAATCCTATAACTAGAAACGAACGATAAGTTTTATCACAATTCTTTGCCATCTTCGCTCGCTTTAGTACTCGGTACTTTTTGGCAAAATTAATTCAGTTAATCATTTTTACTTTCCCATAATGCACCGATTGGTTAAAGTGATCCCGTTAACAATGTTGGACCCTGCAAGAGTCTTAGATGCCGGCTAGCTGCAGTGTAATACCTCCTCTTCAGTCAGTTTAATCTCTGTGCACTTCTTATATTTTGTGGCGGATATTTAAGTATCTGCTGGATCTAGTGCATGCACTCAAGGCGAATTTAGTAAGTCAAAGCGAACATAAGTAAGAAAGTGATCTTGTCGGTAAACTTACAATCTATTGGTTAACAGCGTGCATAAGTAGGTATGTGAGTAGATAACGTTAACGTTATTCTTCAATTCACATGTTTTTTGTTTCTTTAATAGTAAACATGTATATCGAGAAGATTATAGACAAAGGATGCTATAAGGATTATACCGACAGAACCCTTGCGTTATTGGAGACAACGAGTCCATTATTAGATGGCAGTTATATGCAAAGGGCTGCTGCCATAAGACGATGTGCAAAGGCTGCTTACGATTTGCAACTGAACGTTTTTGCGGTTCAAAACGGAGGGCAGTGTATGGGAGGAATCGGAACTCATTTAAACTATAACAGATACGGAAAGTCTACCCAGTGTCAAGAGAACGGCCGCGGTGGACCATGGGCTAATCAAGTCTACGAGATCAAAAGTAAGAAGTGGAATAAGAGAATTATGGGACAATCTTTTCATATGAATGGCTGATAGAAATAAAAGATTCCTATTTCTCACTTTTTTCTGAGAAAAGGAATAGTGCAACTGATTTGACATGTAATCTCCTTGTCCTTGTGTCCTTTAAAGATCACACTTTGAAACTGTTGGGACAAACCTATTCAAATTGGCAAAATTAAGTTTATTGAGTCTCAGAAAGGTACCTTGACGTAGGAATAAACATCTAACAGCAGCCAATCGTCAATCTCCAAGAAATTAAAACTAAAATCCACTCCATTTTAATTTTTTATGATTTTTAAATGTTCTACTGTTGTTGTTGTTGTTGTTTTATGTTTGTTGTTTTTGTTTTTCATGTCACTTATTAAATCAAGCAGTCTGAGATTTTACTCGTTTATTTGACTAGGAAAGTGTAATTCGTCAGATGAATGGTGTGATTGGATGAGCCAAAATGATACAAAAACAAGATGGAGTCTGACGGAGGCGGCTGACTTAGTCAAAGCTAGCAAAGCCATTGCAGAATTTGCACATAACTTTGTAAACAAGGGTAAGACAAATATTCCTATTTGAAAATTTGCTATCTAGTGGTTCTTTGTTTCTACTTGCTATTGACATTAACTTTTCTGTTTTGGCAGAAAATCTAAATGACAGACAGTATGTATTGGAAACAAGCAAGAACAGGCCACAGCGAATCACCACTCCGGTCTCAATAGGGAAAAGCATTAATGCAATGACAGTATGTTATTGGTTACAGGATAACTTTGCTATTTTCTCCCTGAAATATACATCCGGCAACGACGCTGAGGAGACGCCATCCTTCAGCTTACATCAGAGTTTAGTTGGAGTTAAAATGAATGTCAAGGAAAGTGTTATGTAAGTATCTCTATCCACTGCTTAGCTATAAAGTGGGCGCACGTTGATAGAAACTTTGACCTTCCACAACTCTTCAACAAATAGAAGGCATTTTCCCGGGTTTTCTGATAAACTAAATCTTCTTATTGAAGGAACACTCAAAAAGCCTATAAACCGTTTACCTCTCGAATAGTAGTGGTGCAAGTGCAAAATGAAGGCTATTGTGTTTTTACTTATAAGACATCAACTTTGTTTCTGTCATTATTGATACCAAATGTGTACTGTCGGAAGGAAATTAATTTACACCCCTACGCAGGGGCTCTCTGAGTACGTCCCGTTCACTGAGTACATTTATTATTTGGTCCTGCAAAACCACCGAACTTATTTAAACTGATGACATTTCAAACACAACTGTCTATTTCCGTAGTTTATCACATTTGTCCGTGGAGAGAAATGTCTGGCATCATGTCTGTGCCTCATGGAGTTCTCAATTAGGATTCTGGAAAATTTACAAAGATGGAAAGCTCTTCGATTTTGATAGATGGCTTAGCTCCGAACAAGTAATATCTGGTGAGATGTTACCAGAAGAAATTGTTCTGATATTGTGCCACAGCTGAGTGCCACAGCTGAGTGCCACAGCTGAGTGCCACAGCTGAGTGCCACAGCTGAATCCCAAACTTGGCCTGGATGATACTTAACCCAGAGGAATTTTTTTTTCTGTTTAAATGGTTATTTTTGAGTCGTCAGATCACGAAATTCTGCCTCGTTGAACACAGAAACCGATGAAGCCAAAAATAGAATTTGAACAGGAAAAAAGAGCATGATTAGTGATGAGAGATTTGCCAATCAAAATCGCATAAAAATTTGTAGCTGAAGATGCATGTGTGAAGCTGATGATCGTTGGAGGTGAACACATACTTCAACTTCAAATTCTCAATAATATGGCTCTTTAATTTGTAATTCCAGGGTCAGGAGTTATAACTATAGAATTCCAACAAGGCAATCAAACGTTCTCATCAAGATTGACTGGTGTCAATATGTGGGACCATAATCTAGGAGTGGAGGAAGTATATCGTCTTTCTCTTGGATGTGGACAAGAATCAGGAAATATTTTTCGGTGGTTTGATCTGAGGAATAAAGTGGATATGACGGAGGACGAAAAGGAGATAAAGGAGCCGGCTTGCTCGTATCGTGATGGTACAGGTCAAGTTTTCCTTCCTCAAAGGCGACGGTTGCTACCCCAATTTTCATTAAAATAAATGTGTACTTAGTTTTTGTTTCAGTTTTTGAGTTAGCAATGGTTCAACTTTCATGAAGTGTAAGTGTTCAGTCTCACTTGTCAAAGCTCACAATCCGCCACAAAATTTTCAAAATATTTCTTAGCAGAAGTTTTATGTACTCTCTTGGAATGAAGAGAGAACTAGCTCAATGCGGCTGTGTATTTTATTGTGTTAAAAACCAAGACGCGTCAAACATTCAAATACCAAATGTCAAATAAGATTATTTGAAATTCAAAATTAAGTCCTCGACGTTTTTTTACATAAAGTCGGTATGATTGTGTAAACCAAGTGTCAAACAGAAATAGACCAAGCGGAAAACTAGAGTTTCTGCAACCGGAATTTTCTGATTTAATACTGATGCCCCTGCGTCTTCTTGCTCTCGCACAGCATTTCACCTTTTTTGCCTTATCAAATACCTACTGCTATAAATGGTAAGAAATTGTTAATGTGCAGTTATGTTTCGTAGATGATGCAAAGTATTTAGTAAAAGCAAATGTTTCTATCAGGTGTTATGGCAATAGTAAGCCATGGTATTGCAGAAAGGGTTACCTTGGTGAGTCCGTGGAACAATAGATCAGCAGACAAATATGGAAGTTGTCTCAAGTTCAGGTTTCTAATGTTTGGACCTGGTGCTAAAGGATTGGAGATTCATCAACAACTTGAAGAAAGTCAGTGGCCGATTTGGAAAGATTCTGATAACATGGTTCCGTACTGGCGACATGGACAAGTTTCTCTGAGTTCTCTTGCGAGGAGCAAGGTAATACCAAAAAACCAGCACCTCGGCTTCCTTTCTCTTTGAAAAATTTTATAGGTTTACTAGGTGGTTCAATGTCTATTGCATGGTTAGGTTGCTTTGTCAAACCAAGGAAAAATTCAACGTTGGTTATGTTTGGTCAATAAGCAACCCAGAATTCTTCTTAGATTCTTCTTAAAAGGTCGCTCGCCAAACCGATACCAACCACTGCGATGAACTTGTAAACAACAATTTGCGACCGAGTATTGTGCCGAAAATCTATGCAGTAGTACTTAGAATAATCTGGGACGAACGACCATACCTTTTTATCCAAGACATGCCCGTATTCAAATTTTAATGAGGGTAGGTTACATGTGTATCACGGCGGTACTAGGCAAATTGCAGTATACATTGCACACTGCATCGTCATCAGAGTAAATGTCTATTTTATGACATTACCTTGGACGAAGCATGTAGCAGCTGCGAGAGTAAGGGTGTATGGGTAGATAATAAAAAAAACAAATCTTATCTCGAATGACGAAATTCACCGAATTCTTTGCATCTGTATGCAAGGTTATCATTAAAGGAGACATGGAAAGAGTGCCTGGTTACATAGCTGTCGGAGGACTGTCTTGGGTTGATGGGTATTGTGAATCTCAGCCTGTTGGAGCAGCCAATCAAGGTAACACTCAAGTTCTACTCTTTTTACTGTGAATAGGCATTGGTGTATTATGATGATGTTATTACAAAAGAAGCAACATTTTTAAGTTTGCAAAACATGTTTGGACATTATTCAAGTCATCCTTAATTGCAAATGGTCGTTATATAATTCGAATTTACACTTTACAAATATGTCATGGAATTACAACGTAAGCTTAGTGATGTCAAAACATGTTTTTCAAAGTTAAAAGTGGTTTTGCCTTTATGATTATTATTTTTATTATGCTTATTTTCTTAATGATAGTATTATATCTCTGCAGCATGTAGAAAAACACTGGTGGCGTCTTCTGGTTTTATCTTATCACCTTACTATCCTGGGTTCTATGCACCTAATTCCAGTTGTAATTGGCTAATAACCGCGCCAGTTGGTCATGTGATACGTCTTGAGGTACTGGATTTTCAACTGGAGCGTGACCCGCGATGTGCTACTGACCACCTTGAGGTGACTGATGGGAACACAGTGGGTGAAAAAAACTTGGGAAGATACTGCGGAGATGAAATTCCGAAACTAATGCAGTCCACAAAAAATACACTGCACATCGCGTTCAGGTCGGACATGAGCGTCCAAAGAACAGGCTTTAAAATACACTATTCATTTAAAGGTTTGTCAGAACACTTTATTATTTTATGGTTATTACAAACACAGTGTTTTTTCCAATTCCGACCTTTCCTCGCACATTGTGCATATTGTTAAAACTCTTCACTAATATGTTTAAACATGATCAGTTAGTTGCTAGGGTCCCATAAGCGCAATCCTGTCAATTATTTCAGTATCTCATACGTTGAGATTTTATTTTGTTGTTCGTAAACACAGATTGATCGTATAACCACCGCCCGTCCCTCTTTTTTTCCTTCTCCACAGTACAAGCTGAGGATAGTGCATGTAGCAGCAAACGAGGTAATATCTAATGTCATCGGTATAACTTTTTAAGCTGAGTAAAAACTTTGGTTTCTTTGGTTTCATCGGCTAAGGAAGATGCCTATTTCTCAACTATCTGTAGAGTTCAGTATCTCTGCATTACAGAATGTTTATGTGAAGACTCTTTAATTGCAGATTTCTCCTATCTCAAATAATAATTGCTTCTAATCCTATTTTATTCACTTCAGATTGCCCATCAGGCTGTTCGTGCTTCCAGACAACTCTCGGAAAATTTTTTGTCCAAGGTTTTGATCTAAGAACTGTTCCGGGAAACATGCCGTCCTACACAAAAGCCTTGTAAGTCTGTCATACTTTTTTGACGCATGCGTGAGAAATGTCACAAGTTATTGCACTAGTAGATTGAAACTTCTGCAAATAAAGCTGGTTGTTTTCATGAAAACATTTCAAATTTCCTCTACCACAAGAATTGTACGTAAATTCGTGTTTACTAACATTTCAGGCTCTTTGCAAACAACAGAATTAACCTAATTCAGGAGAAAGCTTTTTCAAATTTGCCGCTGTTGGAGTATATGTAAGTCTCTAGATCATCTTTTTGATTTTCAGCATCGTTTTCGCAAGTCAAAAAGTTTTTTTGTGGACTTTTGACTCTTTATGGCGATATATTTCGACAAATCTTATCAAAACACGATTACATAGATTTGTTAAAGACGTTCTTATCAGACATTGTAGGGACGACAGGACCGCTGTCACTTTTTTTAATAAGTTTGACATCATACCAATGTTAACAGTTATCATGGAAAATCGTAAAGATCGTGATTAGTCTAGAATAAGTCACAAGTATCTTCTTTTTTATCTTAGAGATCTCAGTAGAAATGTAATTCTGATGTTAGCTGATTCTTCGTTTCAAGGATGTCAGAATTTAAAAACCATGTAAGTTAAGCGGCTTTGATTTGCGTTACACTTACACCCTATGTAACTAATAAACGTCCCCGCGTTACACAGAGATTTCTTTGTTTCAGCACGTGAAGCTCGCATGTTCGTCCTCAGGAGAAATTGTGATGTGTTTGCAATGTTAGTGTACTTGGCGTTTAAATCAGTAAATCAAGTGTCCGTTGTTTTTACCGCAAGCCTGGTATTGCCAAGCCAGACCCGAACTCTTTGATATACATCGTACATCCCTGTTAAATCCTGGATGTTTGAGATTACCTTGAAATCGTCAAGTTATGGAAATTTTCTCTAATTCCTTGTTCTTACTTCCTTGTTATAACTCCTCAGAAGACTGACTGGAAATTTTGTCAGGAAATTGTCTTTGAATGTCTTTTCTCACCTTCACAATCTAGAAGTCCTGTGAGTATATTTTTTATAAACATATACAAGAAAAAGGGAAGAAACCTTTATTACAACAACTATACCTTATATACCTTATATGCAAGATTTCCTCTCAGTGATATCTATTATATTGTATTTCTTCAAGTATAACATGCACAGCTGCTACTTATTTGCATTTTACTGTTTGCTAGTACGTACGTACGTACGTACGTACGACACTTTTTTCCAACTCTCCTTATCTGTTTTTTCTATGATAGAATGCTTTTAATGTTAACCTCGTAAAAATTTCTTGCGGAAAAACTAAGCAATAATTGTCAACATATTATTTTTGAAATTTATCATGAATCACAGAGATCTGGGAGAGAACCTCTTAACTGTGATCCCGGAGGGAACATTTTCTCACTTGCTCAATCTTCGCGTGGTGTGAGTACAATTACTAATCGTAAAATATTGTTTTAGAGCATGAGAATACTGATTGTCAGTTCATACTGTCATTAAACGGCTAGATCAGAGCATCTGAATATTGAAAACATGAAAAGTGTATCAACGTAGTTTTTAGTCTTCACTACCATCTTCCCTCCATTTGTTCGAGGATATTGGACAGTTTTATATATAAGTTGTTTCTTTATGAGATGAGAGTAGCCATTTGTCGCTGAATATCCTCAGTTTAAAACTTTTTACTTGGTCCTATAGATCTACCTGAATTCAGTTGCTATATTTTGCCAAGCAAACACGTGTTTTTAATTTCTCAACAGAAGTTTGAGGTCCAATGAAATAAGGTCTCTGGAGATGGGAATGTTTAGCCAGCGGAGTAATTTAACATATCTGTAAGTTTCTTCTGATCGCTTACCAATTTATCTTCACCCTAATTCTTTCCAGAAGCCTTTTGCGAAGTCATTGTTAGGTTGCATAATTCATTGTCCTATTTCATATCATGGTCATTATTCGCTTCGATTCGTTCAAAAAATGCGATCAAAAATGTATGATTGATCGAACGATCTGAGAGAGTGCGCTGTTTCATCAAATCAAACTCGGTGACTTTGGTGTGCACATTTCCTCATATCAATTTGATGACCACTCAGTTAAGCGACCACTCTGTAGACAACCACTCGTTTCTCAGTCAAATACTGTTTCAAGCATTTTCTTTAGTGCCATAGCTCAAATTTCTGGGGCGACTGCACCACCTTTGTGGTAAAACGTTTAACAAACTTCTTAGGGGAAAATTCTCCAGAAAAACCGTACCTCTGGGGAAGCATTTATTTGTATAGCTCAGATGGCTTAATTCCCTCTTAGGACAATTTCCCTTGTGTAGTGCATCTGGGAAGCGACCATGTACGAGATCATGCGAAATACGTGTACAATACGTCCGTATTTTTAACTTTTGGCAAAGTAACGTTTAAGATTCTCAGCAATTTAACCACCAACATATTTTAAAGTTCAAACATATAAGCAGTTCAACCATTAGATATTTTTTCTCATCAGATATCTTCAGGATAACTTGATTGAAGTAGTTCCGGACAAATTATTTAACAATCTTGGAAACCTAAAAGTTCTGTAAGTATCTTTTAACATTGACATACTTCTCATCTCCCATCTTATGAAGATTCTCACTAGTGATGTTGTTAAGTAATGGTAATAGGACTGAGTGGAGTCCAATTCGGTCTGTAATCATACGAGTGCTAACAAAATCGGTCGACCGCGCAGCAGGAGTCCGATTTGTTTATCACCCGTATCATTACAAACCGAATTGGACGACATATCCTCTCTTTCTCCATTTCTTTGTTCTTCCATATACTTTCGTATTTAAAAGGGAGTAGCAAATGACCTGATTGTGCAGTTATATGCAATTGTAGTCAAATCTTGAAACTATTTCCATTCTTTGTCTTAGCTACCTGAACAACAATAAGATAAAAAGGATATCAATGCACACCTTTGAGGGATTAATGTCATTACACACTCTGTGAGTATATGTGTGTGTACCTTGTCTCTTTCACGCTTTAGCAAGCTTATTAATACCGTAAGGTTACTCATGAAAGCGTAGAAATGAGAATTGATGGGATTTGAATAGAACTACCCTCATTGTGACTTTTAAGGCTTTGCCACGATCAACAACGTTTTTATTTTTTACCTCAATCCGTAGTCTGCGTAAATATCAGGGGGAAAAAACATTTTTGTCATCATGGCTCATTAACCTTTTTTGAACACGTGAGCCATTCGACTTTGCATTATCTCAAAATATCTAATAGAATGTTTTCGTCGGGATAATTCATCACGTCGGCGATTGACGGTATTCTTCTCTTGTCATATGATTCAGGTATCTAGACAATAACAGGATAGTGGACCTCCCTGCTGAAACTTTTCATGCTTTGGGCAGTTTACGAAAACTGTAAGTGATGTTAAAAAAACATATTTATCCCTCAGTTATGTAATCAGAAAACTCAACAAAACTTTGATGACCTTGGCGCATCCTCGCCGATTCCAGGGCTTGCGTATATTTTACCCACTCCTCGAAGGGTTCATTATTTCCCAAGGAGTAAATAACAGAAGGAGTCCGTTTTATTTTTGTTGGTAGTTTTATGATGAGACCATGTATCGATTTTTTCTCATAAGACAGCTCCAGAAGAGAATCACATGATCGCATCAGGGCCGTTCATACGAGAAAAATATCTGTGGCTCACATTAGATGCAAACCCTTCCATCTGACCGATACATTTCCACTTTATTTTCCTCTCGTAAAAGGCCCCAGTGACTCTCTCTTGACTCAATTTACTTCCATTCAGCCTTTGAATAGAAAAATATAACGAACGATAATGCAGTCTTCAGAATCATAAACAAATTTTCTGGCTAATCAAATGAACTTTACTCTGTCACATTTCTAGTTAAGTTATATGATAACTAACAATCGAGACCAAACAGCTTACAACGATAAATATAACAGTTTTTTGCTGATTGAATGACAAAAATATGCTTCTACTGCCAATGATAACCCCCCCAACGTCAGAACGGCTAGTTTTTATTAATAGGTGATATCATTATGCGGGTAGGTGATATTATTATGGGGGTAGGTGATATTATTATGGGGGAAGCCTGCAGACTTGCAATGAAGACAAATACTGCTTTCTTTCAGCACCATGGATCATTTCACCCACTGCTGTTATGCTATTAGAACAATTCCTCAATTACAGTGTGATGCTCCTGCCGATGGTTTCTCAAGCTGTGATGACCTCATGAAAAATAAAACTCTCCAGATATTCATATGGATTCTTGGAATCTCAGCATTCGCAGGGAATTTGATTGTGGTTCTTTGGAGATGTTTCTTGAACGAAGATAATCGCGTTCACTCATTCCTGCTAACAAATTTAGCGATATCTGATTTTCTTATGGGGATATACTTATTAATAATCGCCATTAAAGACACTCAGTGGCAGGGAGTGTATTTCAAACATGACTTATCCTGGAGGACAGGTAAACTGTGTCAGTTCGCCGGCGTGTTATCCATGGTTTCAAGTGAGGTGTCCGTGGCAATGTTGACAATTATCACAGCCGATCGACTCATATGCATAGTATTTTCATTCAGATTCAGGAGGCTTTCTTTCAAGCGTGCATGTTTTTTGTGCACAGTTGTGTGGCTCTTAGGAATCATGATATCCACAGTGCCACTAATGGGAATTGATTATTTTAATGACACGAAAAAAGGTGTAGGTTTTTATGGTCGTTCAGCCGTGTGCCTTCCTCTCCAGTTGTCATCTGACCGACCAGCAGGTTGGGAGTATTCTGTGTCTTTCTTCATCGCCTTTAATTTCGTGGCTTTCATGTTTATGCTTGTTTCTTACATTGCTATGTTCGTTAAGGCAAAGAAAATTGGCGGAGCCGTCAGATCGACCAACGTTAGAAACGAGACTGCTATGGCGACAAAAATGATGTTCATAATCCTCACAGACTTTTTCTGCTGGATACCAGTCATCATAATCGGAATATTATCTTTAACAGGAAGACTGTATGATCCAAAGCAGCTTGTATATGTTTGGATAGCAGTTTTTGTTCTTCCTGTGAATTCCTCCATCAATCCTCTTCTTTACACATTTTCTACAACCGCCTCCAGGAAAAAGTTGAAAACTCTGACGGGAACGATGAGCTCATTTGTAAGAAGAATTCATTCTTCAGGTGAGGCGATTTCATGAATTCAAACGACTGTTTTCTGTTATCGTTTTCTTCATCTCAATGTTCTGTGATCAAATGGAAACGTTTGGGGATTTAGTGAACTTAGATCGAAATAAAGATTATTTCATTGTTTCGTGTTTTTGGTTAATAGCGTCCTCCCTGGTGACGAAATCGTGAAGTTAAGGGACGAACTTTCTTTTCGATAAAAGAAAGTTTATCGGAAAACTCAGCTATGAACTTTAGGGTTAACTCAAATATCCCTATCAAGCACCCATATGAAGAAAAGAAAAACGCCTTTTGTTGAGAAAATCATCCTGAATTGTGTAGACTACAGCATGACAGTGGTTCACCTCAGTCGCAGATATGCACGATGAAAGGGTTTTTTTCAGTGTTAATGCTAAGTTTGATTGGACTATAAACGATTGAATGGGTTAATGTAGATCGGAATTTAGAGATTTTCGCGAAATTTACTTTCGTTTGACACGAAAAACACGTCTCCTATTTTCGAGAAATAGAGTTATGTAAAAATGAGTTACATTGCATTACTTCACTTTTTATATGTCCAGACTTCTTACACAAAGTCTTGGTCTGGTTTCCGGAAACAAATCTAATCGATTTTAACACGGTGCTATTGGAATCAAATAGCATCAAAATACATATACAGTTGAGTTATGATTAAAAATTTAAACTTCATAATAATCCTTTCTACAGGAGGACGAGGGAGATTAGATACACACCTTGATATAACATTGTCAACCGTGACTCCTAACTTGCCTGACAGAAAAACAGCCATTGGAAAGACTGACGTGAAGATTATTGAATTTTGTAACATATTTAATGACTGCAGCTCCAATCAGTCTATGGTGAGTATTTAACCTGACATATCCACAGCCAAGTGAACGCATATTTGTATTTGTGAGAGCCTTGCCAGCTTGTTCTCCTAACAACAGATTTATACCCCATTCACACCAAAGCTTGGTCTCTCAAAGTCCAACCCTACGTCCCCGTCTTGAGAGACTTGGAATGTAAGAACTATGTTCTAACGAGAAAGGACAATTATTGTTGTAAATGAAATGAATAGATACGGTCTGTCAATTCTTGGACTTCGTAAAACAAGATGAACATCATGTAGGGAAGTGAAAATGGCAGATGGCACTACCATCCTACACTCAAGGAACCAAGACGACGGAGCTCCTCACACGAAAGGCGTTGCCTTCATGATAACACTATATGCGTAAAGCCATGATCTCTTCGGAACCAATCATCTCAAGACGTATTACAGCCTACTTCAGGACCACACACAAGAAGATAAGATCATGGATAATACAATGCTATGCACTAACAAATGGTGCCGAGGATGACGATAAGGACAACTTGTACAACTTACTGAGGCAGGTGATCAGCAAGTTAGAAGAGAAGGATGTAGTCTTCATCATGGTTGATCTCGACGCCAGTTATGGAAGTAGCAGCAGAGGACAGGTGAACAGGCGATGGGCAGTGTGGGATATGAACAAGAATGGAGGACGATTAGCAGATTTCTGTGCTGATTTCGGGAGGGTAATAGGGGGAGAATTTTTCCCCTCAAAAGTGCACAAACTCACTTGGGTCTCACCTAACAACACCGCAGAGAACCAAATCGCAAATGTGGAAGTGTGGGAGGAAGAACATCTGCCTCAGGAATGGTATGGAAGCTACATCGTGAAGCTCTACAAGAAAGGCAATCTCCGGGACTGTAAAAACCATCGAGGGATGTCACTGATGTTAGTAACTAGAAAGATATTTAACCGAATAATGTTATTGCGACTCCAAGAAGCAGTTGATGCCAAACTACGAGATAAGCAGGCTGGATTTAGGAGAGGAAGATCTTGGACTGACCAAATAGCTACATTACGTATTATCATCGAGCTGTCAATCGGATAGAATACACCGCTATAAATTAACTACAATGACTTTGAAAATGGTTTCGATGGCCTCGACAGAAAATCTATTTGGCGACTAACGAAACATTATGAGGGAATCAACTCATGGAAAGAGTAACGATATCCAATGGACACTGTGGCAACAAACAGACAAAGTCGACTTTGCCGACGATATTGCTCTTCTCTCCACTACCAAATAACAGATGCGAGACAAGACGACTCTTTAAAAAAAATGCCAGCAAGCTAGGACTACGACCAAATGTAATGAAAACCCAGATAATGAAGAGCAACTGCAACAACAAGACATCTATCACTATCAGGGACAACACCTAGGAGGATTCTTCATCCCTTGTCTAAATTGAGATTACTGTGAGCAGATATGGTGGGACAGACAGGACAACAAATGCCGGGTAAATAAGGCAAGGATAGTTTTTAACATTCTGAAGAAAGTATGTTCAGCCCACAGAATGAGAAGAAAACACAAGCTGAGAATATTTAATTCAAATGTGGAGTCTGTTCTGCCCTACGGGTTCGAAACCTGGAGAGCGGCGAAGAAAGCCACCAAAAATTACAGAAATTCTTCAATCATTGTCTCAGACGCATCTTAAAAGTCAGATGGTCAGATAGGATATCCAATTAAGTGCTGGGGGAAAGAACAGGAAAATAGCCAATTGAAAATCAGATTTTCAAGAAAAAATGGCAATGGAAAGGGTATACCCTAAGGGAGTCTGTAAACAACATCACGAGGCAAGCAGTAAAATGGAACCCACTAGGAAAATAGGTCGCCCCAAGATCACATTTACAAGAGACATAGAGTCAGACATGAAAAGATGGAACTACATATGGCACCAGCTGGAAAGGGCAGCCTCTGACAGAAGTAGATGGAGGACGTAAATCATCAATAGCCTACGCTCCACCAAGCCAAAAGTTAAACTAAAAGCACCAAAGTTTGGAAATGTTTTAAATCTGTTTCTTGAACTCGGCTTAAATTTTTTTTTTTTACAAAAGCTGCCTAAACCAAGTTTGTTGACTTCAAATTCAAGTTAGAGTCTACTTGAAACCTCTGAAAAATTCAGTTTTTCAGTTCTCTCTTTTTGATTTTCATTCATCTAAACCTGGTTTAACTAGACATGTTCTGCTGGTGTAAATGGGGTTTTAAAATCCTGTAAGTTACATTTAGTTACAAACCCTCAGGTTCAAAGTTTTCCGGCTATCTTAGGTCTTAGCCGACTGCACTTTCATATGACTCATATGTATACCATCAGATATTGGTTAGAACTAACCAGTTATATAACCTTTGTGCACAGGGATATGCTACTTGCTGGGTGGAAAAAGACAGTTTGGAAATGTGCCTTTTGAAGTACTTTAAAAGATCCAAAGAGAAAGACTGGAAAAACGAAATTGAAATTTTAAGAGAAATAGCTAAAAATGGTGCACATGACAACCTGATTGCATTCCGCTGGCATTCCGAAGGTAGGTCCATTTTGATATCATTATTAGCTCGTTGGAAATTAAATAAGGCGATGCAATTGTTGTGCTATTTTTTCATTTCAGTGAGTGATGTCAACATTGGTTTTCAAACGACCAAGCTACCATCCATAAAGAACGCTAACTTGTAAGTAGTAAATTAAACTGCCCAAAACTTTTCTAAATTGTTTGAAACTATAATTCCTCGAAGCAAACCAAAGGTCGAAAAAAGAAAATCAAAAGAAAAAAAAATTGGTCCTTTTTGAAATTAAGAAGTTTATATGCTAGAAGCTATCACTGAGCCAAAAATGTCTTAAAGCTGGCTTTAGCTATTTCAAAATTAACAGCAGGTTTTCCGTTGTAGGTTAATTTGCTATGCCTTTGTGTCAAGCACCTCGTTGAGCGATTTCCTTGAGGAAGGTGTTGGAAGATGTGAACCAAGTATTACCCAACTACTGATTGTACTTTTAGATGTTGTCAAGGCTGTTGAACACCTTCACAAAACAGGAATCTGTCATAATAATATTTCTCCGTCCAACGTACTCGTTTCCTTCAACGAAGGGGTAAGCTTACCTTAGCTACGCAAGTCGATAAGATACAAGCCGAAGTTGATTCGATACACCTAGAAAGTCCTTTGGATACAACTACAGTCATTTCGATACAATTTAGTAACGGAGTAATTGGATTTTTCATGAGACTTCCGTTTTGTTTACACCGTAATGAAGCGGTATCAGCATGCCAATCTGCTCATTTCTTAGAAACCTACTTAATAGTAACCCATACTCATTTGACACTGTTCATGTCACGGTTCTACATGATTTGACGCGTTGGCGGGCGGCCTCTACCTCTGATTGCATCAGTGAGCACATTTGATCAATAAACTTATTCGTCATGCACTTTCATACCTAAGAGATGATGTATTCAGTGAATGACACAGATATAATCGGAGGAAGAAACCTTCGAGTGCTCCCAATAGGAGTCGAAGCAAGGACCATCCGGTTGGTTCTTCAGATGCTCTACCACTGAGCTATAGGAGACTCATGGCAGGCTAAGCCATTTAGCTAGGTCCATGGTGACAAACTTACTGCCCACTGCTAGGATGGAAATGTTAAATGTAATGCTTTTGCGCAATGATGATGAAAATGGAATTAGTGAATATTAAGCCTCGGTCCCTTTACAAGCACTGGACACTTCTCACGTTGTCTTAACGCAAACTTCCTCTGACTTTTAGGTTCGACCAGTGAAAGGAGTACTTGGAAACTTTGGACGAGCCTTTTTGCTTAAACAAAATGACAACTCTTCCTTTTTGCGCCAAGAAGATCTTCGACAATTTCGCAAATTGATGGAAACAGTTGTTGGTTACAGAAATTTTGCACGGAAAACAAATGAGGTAAGTATAGCAATTACTAAACAAAGAATCGAAAGTATCTCATTGTTGATGGAAAAATGTTCTCACTTTTCATTGGGGAATTGTAGATCAAGGAGATTCTTGCACTGTGCAAGGGCAACGAGGACGACACACGAGACGCCACACATATCCGGGAAACACTTCAAAGAATAAGTAGCTCCCTAAAGGAAAGTGCGAGGTTCTAACACAGCCAAGCATCGCAACGACAAAATTGTAACTACAGTTGCATCTAAACGAGAATCTCACAATGCATGCATGTATTAAACATGGTTTGTTTTCATGTAATGACTTAACTAGTAATATTTCTCCAGTCGAAAGGAACCATCGACTTTTTTCAACCTTTATACACTAGTATGTTAGATTGTAGATTAGGCGCATATTTTCCCCGTAATTCCTGTAGTTACACACAGAATGCGTGTTTACGCAAGGCAATCAAAATTATCCAGACAACGCCGATTATTTCACTCTTTTGATCTTAAATACTCAGTTGAGTATGCTACTTAAGAACTCAAGTTTTAAGTAAAATAAAGGATCTTGGTTTATTAGATACTGCACAAGGAAGTTTGTTGAGAAGACGTTTAACCTTTTAACTGGTTATTATTATAATAATCATTATCCTTATTATTTTTTTTTAGTTGACTTCTGATTGCGCCTAGCCAATCACTGGATCGAGTCTGTCGACCTAGTTCTGAATTGTCTGACAAATAAAGGTCTATATCGGACAAATATCTCCGGTTCTGTTGAATGACTTTTCATTCAAAGAGATAATAATAGAACAAATGAAATTTATCTCCGAAAATTCTTTGAGGGGGAAACGAAGAGAGGAGATATCGTAGTTGCGAAATTTACCCACAAAACCTTGCTAACCTCGTAAGAAATTACCCGACACGACTATGAGGACTAGGTTGTTCAAACCGGGATAATTTACCCTGCATCTTTACCCCAACATCTTTTTTATGACTTATTCGTAGATTTACATTACATTTTTTTTTTAATCAAAAGATACTATCTTCCTATTTGTGTTATTATCGAGTCTTAAAATTCAACCAAAACTGCGGCTTCAAAATGTACCACACTATTGAAGAAATGTAAATTATAAGATTATAAGCTGGAAACCACTCCGCTTCGCGTCGTGGTTTCCTACGCTTATCTCGTGTTCTCCCAACCTCCCGCGTGTTTACATCAGGCTATGTAAACACGGAAACCATTTTACATTTCTTTTATAAAATAACTAATGAAAGAGGAACGAAAACCGTGTTTACATACGCTCATGTAAAATGATTTTATGGCCAATCAGAGCGCGCGTACTATTTGGATTATTTTATAAAAAACCTTTGTGTATATTGCAGAAGTTTAAAACATTTTCGGCGCAAACCAGGATTCGTTTCTCCATTTCACCAAACTTGCAATTAAAGCATGCAATGTACTCATTATTATTGTCCAAATCTAAATCTCTGTTGCTCTCAGCTGGTTTAAAAACGTTTTTCAGACAAGTTCCGTGTAAAAATTATTCAAATTAAAGGAGGAAAAATATAAATCAAACAAATGTACTATTGATAGGCTGAACTGAATAAACAGTTACTTTTCCTAACTGTGGATTGCAAACAGAATACTTAAAGAATGTCCAACCATGTGCAGCGGCTCCTAAAACACAGGGAAAACAATCAGAAATGTATTCTCAGGAAAGGTAATGGGTTTCATGGTTCAAAATTTGCTAATCAAATTTAACAATCAAAAACAGCAGAACTTACCAAACTCGCCATCCTTGTTGACTACTACCAAGCCCCCACTATACTTTGGGTAATATTTTGCTATTCGTGTAAGAGCTAGTGTTGCTGCTTCCGTTGGACTTTTACCCTGACGCATGAACTCAACTGCCTGAAAACTGCACCAAAAATAAAAGAAGAAAAAAATCCTCTCAGTTAAGTTGTGCAATTGTTAATTATTAAAGCTTAGACAAAAAGCGTAATTTCCTTCGTTGGGAATAAACTGTTGGCTGGTAAGAGCTAGTGGACAATGCTTAGTATGTTCTGGTAACATAAGGAATAGCGGCCAGTGGCTGCATCAGTTCTTTCATTTTTTATTTGGTTAGATTTTAAATATCAGCAATAATATAAATAGCTGGGTGCCAATATTTTCATACTGTCAATGAGTCCCTCTCTTCACAAAAGGTTCATTAATGACCAGGATTTAACCATTAAACCTGAAATACCTCTATTTGCAACCTGGCAAAAGTGGCCTTTTACCTCGGAAGAAATCGCATCATGATATCTCCATCGCCTGTCGCAGCAGCACCGCCTACCTCATTATCAACGTATGCTCCAGCTCCAGCAATGGGTGAGTCTCCCACACGCCTGTGCAACAAATAGATAAATTAAAAAAAAAAGGAGTTTACTGGTAAAGTAAGGCAGGAACAGACTAAACAGCCACAGTTTTCTTGGACAACCATTTTCACTTCAGTGTTGGTCTGTTTAATGAGTCGATAGCAAAGAAAAAATATCAAAAGAAAGAAAAAGGAAAGGGACAATACATTTTTCAAAAATGCACTGGAAAAAAACACATGAAACTACACACTGTCACATTAAAATGCTTCTAACTACCAGTACTTTGACTCAGCTGTTCTCTTACCCGGGAATCTTGTGGTTTGCTCCATTTGTACTCGTTCCTGCAGCAATGTTCCCAACTCTGTCCACTACAATCATACCTGAAAAATTAAATATGTTATCTATATTGAGTGGAAAAACACAAAAGTTTTCAGTTACTATCTTCCAGACTTGCATATTATTGGTCATTTATAAGCAAAAGGATCAGTCCATCAATACCAGCCCAAGTCAGGTGCAAAAAAGGCTCAATATAGGGATCTTCTCCTCACCAATTGTATCATGATTTTGCCGCCCAATGTCTGAATGTGAAGTCGGCCTTGAACTTTTCTGTTCCCTGTGGAAACCAATTATTAATTATACTTAGACAATAAAGCCTATACTTGCTCTCTGAGACTGTGGTTGACAGACAGAACATGAATTTTCACACCTTTACAGCAACATTCTAAGCTATATATGAAGGGTCTGGATATCGTAGAACATAGCACTGTTCTGAATGACTGTCATCCAGTTCAACATATACTGTTTGAAAAACAGTAGTTCGGTCCCTGCTAAGGTTAAGTAAAGCTGGTTAAGCAATGAATCTTTCAGTTTGAGTGTGTTGAATTAATAAACTGTAAGCACCGTTGGTGGGTAAGAATAAACTTACCCTGTCACAGGTTTGTAAGGACCACATGACTGATGAGGATCAGGAACCACGTCCTTATAGCAAAGGAATGATAATCAGTTCTGAACAATAAGCATTTAGTTACTAGGCATCTCATTAAGCAATACAGTCCTGACATCCAAAAGAGACTATAATCACATCTTAACTGAAGCCACATAGAGCTCTTCCAGAAATATACCACCTATATAATATGAATACAAGATACTATTTCAACACTATTTCAAATCTCCAGTTGCCCCTGCAGCATGGTTCAAAGTGACATGCAAATGCATTAAAGAAATAAATAAATAAAACAAAGAAAAATATTTTACCATGTCAACTTTACCTTCCAAAAGTTGGGTTGGCAATTATTCTTTTCCCAGTCTCTCCACATCTGCCTGAAAGTCATAAAATAGGGTTGTAGACAATAAAATTGGCTGATGTAGCACTCATCTAGTTCAGTGTTGTTTTAGCTGACCCATTCCACAGCTCATCAAAGAGCAGCCAAAGTAAAAGAGAGTACATCTTAATATGAAGCATTTCCTGAGCTAATTTACCCAGCATATGTAAAAAACAAAATTAGTTCAGGTGGTATGTGAAAAAAAAAAAGTTTTGGCAGCAGCATGTTTTCAGGATTCTTTGTTAGGTGTGAAAACATGGCCTTAGGTTGTCAAAACAATACAGGACCCAAGATTATAAGTTTAATCAAGAAAATGCAAACCATAGAATGCAGCTTGAACTACTGACCGACACAAAAAACACAGGATTAATGCTTAACTCTCCAAAAATCTGTTGCATGTAAAAATACCATGAGCATTTGTGAAAATACTTCATCTTAATTATATTTTCTCATTATACTTTTACCAATAACAATTACAATTTTTTTAATTGCGTTAAATACATTTCATTATTTTTTATTCATTTCATTACAATTTTTCATTGTTTTTGCCTACAGAACTGAGTGTTAGAAGCATTGTTCACATGTTATTACTCTCTAGCTTGCATACCATGAGTGGTTAGTGTGCAAGTCTTCATTTGTGAATCCCATCTGCACTGCAAACTGGGTAGCTTTTAGAAAAAACACAACATATCTATGTTAAATGAATGATTGTCTTGTTTGATGCAGTACATCGTCATTGTCATCACTTCAAGATATCCTCTCATTATTTCACAGTGCCATAATTTCCTTACTCCACCATTCCACCTCTAGGAATGGTCTGGATTCTACTTTGTCTCCCAGAATATTCCAAACATTTTGACAATTGGGGAGTACCCACCAAAGCAGCCTCTTTGCTAGCTCTTGCAAGAGTCACCAATTTCACCTCATCCCACCTAATGAGCAGTCAGAGAGTAGTACCGTATGGGATTATTTAATATCTGTATCTGTAGTCTGCCTAAAGTTGCTATTGATACAGGACTATAACTAACACATCACCAGCAAAAGTTGGTGAAAAGCATATAAGAAGAAAAGGCTGCTCACAATGTTATCTTACCATCATCTCCTACCAAAAATGTCTCTGAGGTGTGTTCCATGACACTGCGTGCAACTGAAATGGCTCTTTTCACTCTCTTTAGACAGCCAACAGCTCCAACATCATGTGTAACACTAAAAAGGAAAAAAGTGAACCATTTGACCCCTCAAGGTGTAACACAACATAACATTACAGCCCTATATGGTGTCTGAGCTGTAAGCTGACTATATATCAGACTTACTGGCCTTAATTACTTACTATGGAAATTAATTTTTACCTCATTAAGAAACTGCATTAAAATATGAGATATCTTAACCATGAGTTACATAAACCCTTGTAATCAACATACATATAAGTTGAGAAAATGTATCATAACTAATTACATTGATTATTAATTTCAGTGCATTGGATTAGGTTTACAAAATGGTAATGACTGAGGGGAATCTATGACTCACACACTATTTTACTGTCATGGCCCCACTTTGGCAAAAAGTGGGGAAAATAATGGTTAGTGGTAAATTTTTCACAGCCTTGATCAGTTTTTTGGCAAATTGAACTTTGTCACGACTAACTCTGTTTGCTTTCTTCTATCACCAAGAGAGTCCTAAAAAGCCCTGTCTATGAATGTGGCCCCATTTGGTGTGTGAGTTGACACGCTTATACCTTTCTTTTTTCACTTGTGCATAACAAAAAAATTTAAGGGTTCCTCCTCTCCCTCGGGTCACAATCACAGTTACATGCATGTAACCAAAGATTGACTGCTAATGTTATTAACCCCACCCATTTATGAGTTCCTCTGGCCATGGACCCATCTTTATTTCAACACCATCAAAGTTTCAAGGCAAACTTACCCATTCATAATCATGGCATCTAATGTTGTCTCTCCATCTTCATTGGGGCTGTCAACATGAACATAATAAAATATCAGTTATAGACATTTTTCTTGTGGTAAACCATGAAAAATGTAGAGTAAAAGCCACACATAATTTTGGCACACTGGCTGGACAAAAAATCTGAGGTGTGGCTCACAAATGAAACTCAATGTGGCTTGGGTTTCATGGACCTCACTGTGATTGATTAGTCATGGTGCAAAAAATGTTTATGAAAGAACACAGAAAAAAAGACTAAAGGTATGTTGCTGATGATCTCTTCTTCAGTTAACAAATGTGGTTTTGGCCATATTCCTACATCAATCTTTTCATCTCTTCATTGTCACCTTTAATGCCTACAAAGAGATGTTAACAGTTTAAGTCTTAATCACCCTTGATAAATTTGTGAGACTAATGGAATTTAAATTGGAAGTTTAATCTAGTTATTCACTTTAAATTTCATATCTTCCCAAAATGGATACAAATATTCAAAATGTCAAAATCAGGCTTGTTAAGAGTAATCATATTGTCAGAGTAAACATAAACATTTGCAGAACTTCAGACTCACCTAGCAGTGTCCATTACTAACATCAGCCTATATTTTTATGAACTAACCTTCCACCAAACCCTACAGTGCCATCACATTGCTCCATTTCACACACTGTGCATCCAGATTCAACCGCATCCAGCGCACTTCCTTTGTCGCTTGAAATAACATGCCAAGCTATTCAAAATTTGAATAAATATAAAGGCAAGTTTTGCATTCAAATTGCTATCCAGTTTATAGATAACTCAACACATATTATGTGAGATAATTTCTGATGACCAATTACTAAAATAAAAAATGTGCTGCATTTTTTCAAAGACCTAATTTATTATAAACATGTAAAAAATGATGAACAGATAACAAAAAGCAGTTAAATGAGTAAATTAATGTGTACATATGATTATACCCAGTCATAAAAATACAACATATTACAATAAAGAAAATATTCATTAAATGACACTATTACATGTTATTTCTTTGGTTGATTCCTTTCTTGTGTTTGCATGACCAAAATATGTTTCTTTGACATGCATTTTTAATATATTCTGTGAATACATGAGTGTTAATCAGTAAATGTTTTTTAACAGTTTTTGAAAAAAATGGTTCCAAAAGTATTCTTCTAGTAGTCTGTGTGTATTTCATATTGATTGCATTGGCTACTGCATTCTCTATCCAAGACAGGAAGATGGGTCTGCAACACTTTCTTGTGGCCTATTATGGAGTATCCCAATTTCTACATGCATTTCGTGTAGAATAGACACTCTCCCAGAGGCTTGTGTATAGACAGAGAAGAATGCAAGTGACTGGTGGAATACTTCATGAATACTAGGAAGGAAGACATCTTAGATCAAATGCCTCCTGATTTCAGATTGCCAGAGGTTGAAATATCCAAAACATGTCAAAGAATGGCACAGTTGCATCAAGTAGAAGAATCACAAAAACAACAATCTTTGTTGGCAATGAAACTTCAGTTCATTTCAGTCAAGTTTGATTGTGTGAGTAAGATCTAAATCTTGAAAAGCAAGTTTGTTTTGCAGTTTCTCCCCTTGTATCTTGCTTCAAACAAAGCTGTAAAATATGCAAACTCTCAATTCATCTGACAGAAATTGGAGTGCATAGTACACTGACATCATCTAGTGAAGGAGCACCATGAAAGGAATTAACCCTTTACACCCTAACATTTGTATGCATATTTTCTATGCTGTTTTCTCCACATTTCCTGTGGCTCTAACAAGGAGAATTTGTTTAACAATCAAGAGCTTCTTTGGTTGGTGATCATTTCCTTTATTCTTGTGACCTTAGTGTGTGATTCAGGGGTGATATTGTAAGGAGAAATTAGACAGTAGCAGGGCTGTAGGGAGGAATGGTGCATTCACACCCCCCTTGGCTAGGAAAGTTTGTTTACCACATACTGTCGATTCAAAAGCGACTTCAGAATGCAGTCTCAGGTAGTCTCATGCTCCTGGACCCCAAAGAATCTTTTGTCTCTGGTGTAGAAAATTCCTGCCTTTGCCCTCCCCCCTTACATGTGAAAAAACTTGTCTATGGACCTGGCTAGTCACTTAGTATAGGGTCCAAGGATTAATTAGGGAAGTTACAACTCACTAATTATTTTCAGACAAGGGGAGAGAAATGCAAACATATTGAGAGCCAGAAAACATCATTTGGTGGTTTAGATTAAAGCCAACCACTATACCATGATGTTTGAAAGGAGAGTATTTTGAAGGATGGATTGAAACTTGTCAATTTTCTTGCTCTCAGCACGAGGCTTCCAAGCTCAGTTGGTAGTAGCTCCCAACTAGTATCTTGGAGGCACTGGTTCAAATCTCTTCAAAGCCTGGTTTTTTTTCAGGCTTATCTTCTGCAATCACTTACTTAAATAGTAGGGATACAAGAAAAACATGTCTCTAATTTGCCACTTTATGTATAACTACTTAAGCTTCAACTGTAGCCGCATCAGTACAAGGTAATATGTTCTTCTCTATTGCAGTTATTTCTATCTCCATGTGCTCATTGAGTTCTATATATGCGTTATCTGTTCTTTTAATTTTTGTCCTATTGCTGCACAATTGAGCTTCCTCCTTCCAATTAGCACCCCCCCCCTCCCTCCCAAGTGCTTATTTAAGGAGCTATGGTAACTGAGCATTCTTCTCAGGTCAAAAATTTATCAGAGATATAACCATGCCTGTATAAAAAAAATATATTTTTCTTTTCCAACCATAAATATGAATTCTAATGGATGTTTGACTGTAATGAAATGTTTTTTCCTGGTGTAGAAGGGCAAAAAATCCTTGAAATTTTGCGCAACTGATAGCTTCTGGCCCCCCCCCCTCCCTCCAAATAAATCTTGCTAGGTATGCCTGATGAGTTCCCAAAGCAAGTCAGTGGTGTGAACACATGCATTATTGGAAATGGGTATCTGGTCAGTTCACCACCACAAGAAACTTGCCATCACCATGAGTCAAATCACCACGAGTCAAATCCCCACCAGTGGCAATTTGACTCAAGTGTTATGTATAGTCTGTCGATTGAAAGCTAAGATGTAGTAGTATATTGCAAAAAGGGAAAGGGACTCCATACTTATGTGTAGTGTGTCAATTATTTTCACCATGTCATTTTCACCAGTGCTTATGAAATAGCATGAAACTTGCATCAAATAAAGGCTAGGAAGTGGCAGTATATCGTGACAATAAAAGCCCCTACAAATACACTGAAGTTTTCAGAAACAGACTTGGCGTCCTCTCTTTGTTTTAAGCTCAAATAATGTTGACATATGACCTTTAGCACAAGTTTCTCCTTATGAACATGATGAATTTGCTATCAAATCTAATGAAAGCCTAGATCTTGAAGTATATTCATTTATGGGTTTTGATGATGCAAAATTTTGCAGAAAGCAACTTGGCTTTTGTCAGGAGTCACTGAAGGGCAAATGGATCAACCCTTGAATTTATTAAAATAATAAGTAGCATGTCAGGGATATTCTGCCAACTACTACATTTGTTAAACTATTTGATCAATATCATTGCGAAACAAAGCACTATTGTTGAAGTCTCTTTCTCTGGATTTCTAAAAACTTTTAACACGTTTTGATTAAGGAGCACCCCCCTGGCTATATATACACTTTTTTATGTTGCAATAGACATAGTTAGTAGAGGAGTAGTCTCCTCTACTAACTATGCAATAGACTACTATATCGATCTTTGCTTTAATTTGATGTAAGTTTCATGAAGTTTCATAAACATCTGCAATTTGGTGAAAATCACCCTGGTTTTCCCATGTGTAGACTGATCAATATTCATGATATCAACATGTTTTTTTTTTCATTTGACGGTTAATGTTCCATAATTGAGACAATACTCAAAAAGTTTGAGTTCCTTTTGCCATATTTGTTCATTCTTCTAATTTTGAAATATACCAATAAAAGTTTGCTCTCATTTGATGTAAGTTTCATGGGAAGGATAAACATAACGCCTGAGTCAAATCGCCACCGGTGGAGATTTGACTGTCAGTGGTGGGGAGTCAGGTGGGGGCGAGTTTGGTGGTGGCAAATAATGACTATAAACACTTGAAATGTTGTGAGAATAGCTAAAATTCTTTGAATTACTCAAATTTGATTTTTGATCTTCGATTTACTTTTTAGTTCTGCCAACCTTCTAAGTGGATCACTGCTTCAGTTATACAGTAAGCTTATAGTGCTCGAATAATTAAGCTTGTCGATTGTATGCTTGAGCCTCTTTCATATCCTACCTTCAGCTGTTGCATTTGTAAAAGGCCATGTATTTATCACAACTGGGAGACTCTTGGGGGTCGAAGTTTCACCATATTTAAAAATTTGTCCTTCCACAAACAAAAATAAAACTAAAATTACTACTTGACAATATCGACCTGACACTTCCTCCATAATGGCTTTAACCGAACCAATCTTCCCACGGTCGATCACTTCTGCTGCATTCACGCTTTGCATGCCTACAATCTAATATAGTTTTTTTTCGTTTTCTGTTTGAAAGCGTTTTCCTTTTTTTTGTCCCTCTTTCTTATCCTTTTTTTGATATAAGATTAATATTTACTTTCCTTCGTACTTGAAGCAAAGTGAATAAATTCAACATTAATTACGATGAAGGACGAAAGCGAAACTGAAAACAAAACAAAAAAATCTGCTTACGTGTACCGCTTACATAATTGGCTAATCTTATTGACCAATGATAAAATGGGATCTGGGTCGAACTAACCAATCGAGACCCTCAAAACAATATGAACTGAAACTTGGCGCCCAAAAATCAATCTTTTTGTTTACATCGACTCGACTGTTATTATCATGGAACTATGAAGTTGGGTGTGTAAGCACAGTAGTGATAATCATACCTATGAACCTTTAGAAACTGCTTCTCTTCTTCACGTCGCTCAGTTGTACTGTTATAGAAGTCCTGGAAACGCACAAATGAGGTACGTAGAATGCTTGCACTGACCTAAGCGCATTTTCATCATACTAATATGGCGACTAAATTTCCCAATACTTGACAGCTGAATTTCGTTCTCTTCCCGAACGCAGTAGTTTTACCGTAGTCTATGAAATAGAGAAGCAATCAGACGCAAGCTTTTCATGAATTTATTTGTTGCATTAAAGTTCATTTCGCCGGTAAGAGAATTTAATACACGGCTGAATTGGCATTTTTTTTCGCCGATTTCGAAACGTCTCGAAGATCAAATCTCCATTGTGTTTATGTTTTTTTTGTCATACCTTGGTAACAATCAATTCAAGTTTCACCCTTTGAAATACGAAAACTGGCGTCGATTTTTGCTATAAGTCAGCACAGACTTGTTCACCATACGTTCATACTCGTATGAAGAAATTTGATGGAGCTCAATTTGCAGAGCCGGGGGCGCCGATCTATTTATGTCTTTGTTGCTCTGGCGTATTCAGCTATCTTAGCTTGTGTTGTCGACTTAAGCATTTTATTCTGATTGCTGTTGCTCATGGTTTAAGCGTTAAATAATAGTATTGGAGTGGTGAGTCTTTAAAAAACGTTCATTTTTTAGTCATGGAGAAACATCTACGATCGAACTGACAAGATTCTCCAAAACATGTATCTGTAAATTCTGAAATGCTTAATTATAAAACCGTTACGTAGTTGATGTTCCTGTGGTCATTGCTCCTCTGGTAACATTTATTTATGCCGGGGTGATCAGAAACTTTGATTCTCTAAAATGAATGATGAGATCTTCACTTCAATTTTCATTTTAAAAACCCTCAGGGTGTACGTAGGTCAAGGAAAATTTTTGAAATACGAGATTCTTGTTCAATATCAAGGTTCAAATGATATTGAGGCTAAAAGGTCACAGGAAATGTATGTTTGACTTATATGGATGTGTTTGTTAGTCAACTTTTCAAGTGCCTTGTGGCTGTTTCACTTTTAAGAGCTTACATGTATTTGTAATTAGTTTCAAGAAGTAGCATTTACGACATGAAATAATTTGTAAGGCATGCCAATGAGGAAAATTAGGGAAAAAATGATCGGTCCCCATCTCTGCTGAGTTTATTATGTGTGCATCTAGGCTACTTCTCTAATTCTTCTAATTATCATTAGCAGTTTGAAATGAACAGTTAAATTGGGATCAGTTGAAGGCTGGGACCTCCTGGGTGGAGCATGGGGATATTCATAATATAACATTTAGGCTAGTTTTACTGATATTTAGAGACAAAAGACATTATTTGACATAGTATTTATTTTAGAAAATAATGAAAATATTCCCCAAAAGATTGAATTTGAAAGGAACAGAGCTAGCTAAGTTACTGAGCATATGTGAAAACCATATCTACAAAATTGCAGAATAGATACTTGAAAAGTTTGTTTTAAATCAATATATAGATATGAAGTACTCAATTCCAAATTTAAAAGATAATTAAAAAGAACGATAGAAGAAGAAATTTGGTGCAGTGATAGTAACTTTCATTTCTTGTAGACTAAGTTTAAGGTTTGTCTACAAGAATGATTCACTGTTATAGTGAACAAAGATATATGCTAAGAAAAGCACTTCTTCACTAAAGATGATGACTACTAGGAAGAGCAGTGTTGAAGTTGTCATGTATGTAAAAGAATAAATTTTTAGGGTGGTAATGAAGTAGAGAAAGATGTTATTCAATGCATTGTTACAAGCACGAGACAAAGAAAAAAAATTCTGAGTGCCTGTGAGGAATTGAACCTCAATCTTCTTGTTTTAAAATCACAATGTAGTCTCAAATCCAACTTTTGTGCAAAAATCTGGGAAATGTAATTTTTGACATTGAAACTTTCAAGAATGGAGGATTATAGCTCTTAAGCCACAAAAAACATCTCAGGCCTAACTTAGGCAAGCCATGTTGTAGCTTCCAGGACAAGTTCTGCTCTAGAGTGCTCAAAGAAAGATCCTGGGAATAAATTGTTCAGTATGGATATTGTGTTAACAAATATTTAATGATAACATATTTGTACAGGACAGCCCTTCAGTAGATAAGTAATGTCATGAAAGGGATGCTTAGTTTTCTACAAATGCCCAAATCCACTCCTGACTAATTATGAAATATGTGTAAACCTTTGTATTACATGATTGGTTGATTATTTGCCCATTGATTTAAAAAAGGGAAAAGCATTGACCAGATTTTTTGTCAAAGTTTGCCACATTGCTTTCAACTCTTGGTATCTTAGGAAAGCTGTTTAAGTGTTTAGAAGCAACAGTATTTCCAATCATGCTTCAATGTGGTAGAATAGTTTTCAGAATTTCTTCATCCCACATGTATTTTTGAAAGTTCAACATTTATATGCAGTTATATCTTTCCTATAAACAGGAATTGTGTGTGGCTGACTGAACTTGCAAAATTAGTGAACTAATAAATTTAAGGTAAGCAAAAAAAAAAAAAAGGACACAAGTTCTTCTTTGTTATCTGTGACCCTAAGCAATGTCTGTTTTGTTTGTTGTTCAGTAAAAGTGATTTGGTAAATTGTAAATTTCAAACAAAACTCGACATTTTACACTGTATAGACACCAAAATACTGTTATAAATACTACTGAATAGGTCTCATTCACAGCTGTCCTTTTGTCTTATACACAATAGGCCCTTTCTGTTAAGTAGAGAGTATGCATTTCCTAACATCACTTAACAACCACCGCAAAGGGGACTACAGCTTTACATAGTCATTATAGAAATTATCAGAGACAACTTTTTTCTAATTTCTGGCACACATATCTGTTATCACTTTATAAAGTGAGGTTCTTTGGTCTTTAAAATATTGATGACATATTGAAAGGTTTTTTGTTTTTTTTCCAATAATTTTTACCAATTTTCAGATGATAGTTTCCTGTGGGTTGAATGTCAGCAAACTGCTCAAAGTGCTAAATGAGGGGCTTCTGAAAGAAGAGACACACCTTGCTCCCCTCATGTGCTTGGCTGGAAATGAGGTTTGTAAATGCACATTTATCAATCAAATATTGTAGTAGGTCATGTGTAAATTATTATTTTTGTAATTTTCCTTTTAGGAGAAAATGTAACTGAATACTGTGACTAGAACTTTTGGCAAATTTTCATGTGTAATTGCAGACCTTTAAACAGAATGGCAGAAATTGTTTGTAAGTCAGAGGGTTCATAATTGGTCTCATCTGAATTTTATAGTTAAACTGGTACAAAATGAATGTGTGCAGAAGGATTGTTTCAGGATGAACAAGTCATTAATGCAGAGGGTTCAATGTCATGATATAATAACAAGACATGCAAAAGGTACTCAACATTTGTTGTCTTTTTTCCTGCTAGGATTCAGATGGAATCAGTCTTTCCAACCGAGACAACAGTACAGTTTTTATACTCAATTTGAGCAGGCATTGTGGATTTCACTCAGAGACATTCTCCCTTTCTGTAAATTTGCTTGACCGTTTCTTATCAGTTGTAAAGGTGAGTTATTTGTTGCTGTGTACTGTGTTCATGTAGATATCTCTCCTATAGAATGCTTAAGATGTAGAAGTTTAAGCAATTAAATTTGATAAATTCAGGGATACCTTGAATTAACAGTATGTGTCTATATTTGAATATACAGTCATGTAATGTCTTTTCTTATCATTTTCAAAACTACAAAAGAAATGGTGTACAATTTAATGGAATTGAAATGTCCAATTTTTATTTAAAAAATTACAGCAATGCAATTTATGAATATGCTATCAAGTAAAAGATGAGTTTGAAATCTATCAATTACTTTTTCAAAAATTAAGTGTCTAAGTTGTTTAAGATGTGCTAAGTTGTATTTTCAAGATATGAAGAGTTTTTTTAGTAGAGGTTTTCATGATCATACTTATCTTTATCTTTACATGAAGGCCAACCCTAAGTATCTTCCATGTATCAGTATTTGCTGTCTGTTCCTTGCTGTTAAGATGTGTGAAGAGGATGAGGTACTAAGCTTTTGTCATTATCTTTTTAGCTAGGGTGTTTAATTAGCTGTAAATGTTGTGTTGATGATTTAGTATGTAACTGTACCAAGAGTTAAAAACAATTTTGAATTAATAAACCATAGTCACCAACAAGAAATCAGTCATTCCCTGTTCAAGTTTTTTGCCCATAGTTATACAATGTACAATGTGTGTGCTTTTGTAGGAGTACTTGTAGTTAACAAGCAAATTGCTGTGTTGAACTTCTTTAAGACAAATGTTTAACAACACTAACATTTGTTTCAGCTCCTTCTGTTTATGTAAACAGGGAATGAATCTTGTTAACCTTTTAATGCCTGAGATCTCATTAGTAATTCTCCTTACTGTCTGCTATGCAATTCCTGTGATGCTAGTTCTCAGAATTTGGTACTGGGTCAACTAGAAAATCCTCAAATTTACATTTTGATAATTCTTATCACCTGTCTGATTGACATTGTATTGATATCATAAGGAGAAATTCTGTCTTGGTCACTAATAGGAGTTAAATTGATTTGACGAGGAGCACTGTATGCTTTAACTGTGCAGGTGAACCCTAAACTGAGGATACTTGCACACAAATGCATGTATGTAAACACATATGGTAAAACTGCTTGATGATATTCCATTTTTTGTTTAATTTTCTCTGCTAGGATGTTCCTACAGCTGCTGATTTGGTCAAAGTTAGTGGACTTAACTTTTCTTCATCAGATCTGCTACGAATGGAACGAATCATTCTTGATAAACTTAACTGGAATCTGAATGCTTCAACTCCTTTATATTTCCTGCAGGTGGTAAGTAAAGTAACATTTGTTTGAAATGTTTATGGGTGCATACCTAAATAATAATATACAATTAATAACCTACAGACAATATGCAAGCTTAAATGTCTCATGTCTTCTTTCAGTTTCATGCCTTGTGTGTTTCAAAAGGATTTCTAGACCACTGTCCAGTGAACCATCATTTACAGCATATCACCTCGCTCTTAGAAGATCTCCTTTGCTGTCATAAGTTTATGTTTTTCAAGGTAATTATATAATAATGGAAATTAATACCCTCACCACAACTTTAATGTAAAGATGATACAGGAGCACCTTAAACTAGAGTCATATGAATCCATTAAGATTGAAAGTTTGGATAAAAAATAACATTTAACACTTTGATAGAGCTTTTGACTAGTAGGAAAATACTACTAAGCAGGTCACTAAATTCTGATTTAAAATTCAAAATCTCTCTATTTTCTAGCCATCAACATTAGCACTGGCCTTGTTGAGTTGTGAATTGATGTATGTCAGCAGCAACTGGCTCCTGGCAACGCATTTTCTACAAGAACAGGCAAAGGTAATAGTGTTCAACTATATATACTGGAGTTAAAGATCTTTGGATGGCTAACAGAACTGATTACTTAAAAATGTATATGTTGGCTAGAGGCACCCATACCCACCATTTTGATGTTTTAAGAGTACAGATCTTAAAAATTGAACATATTGCTTTGAACACAAAGAAAAAATTGTACCGTCCTGTTCGCTATCCCATAGCACAAGTTTGAATAGCATTTATCAGCTTATAAAGGGTAGTTTTTCATGTTCAATTAATTGCTGATTATTTTGCTTTTCTCTTGTTTCTTTAACATGGCAGATTCCTGATGCTGAACTTTGGCAGTGTTGTAAACTACTTAATGACCACTTCAAGTCTATTTCAAAAAGTCACTCAATCAAAATGAAGACACTGACATTAAGTGATAGACAAGATCCTTCATTCCCTGCTTTGATAGGGAACTAATACTAATCGAGGTGATCACAGTATCTAACTGGTGGTGTGGTTTAAGCTATAGAGTATGAAAAGTCGTAAGTGTTTCTTTAAAAAAATGCACTCATAGCTGTGTTTAATAAGTCATTTTCATCTTAATTTACACACGTGTCAAGAAAAGTCTTAACCTTAATGTATGTGTCGTGTCCTCCTAAGGCATTTGAAGAGTTTTGCTCTCCATTTGTTTTTGTTGTGTAATGCAAGTTTTATGACTGGTTGGTGTGCAAGATTTGTTTTTATGGTGGAGAGGAATAGAAAACTTTTATTGTACTTTAGGCATTTTGTTAAATGTATGTAAATATTTTAGTATGGGATGTAGAATAAAGGATTTTATATCAAGTAAGAGACTGATATGTTATTTTTATTGTGTATAATTACTTATTATGCTGTCCCACTACAAAGAGTCACTTTGAGTTAACACCAGCTTTACTGGTCTAAAGTTCCAGCTTGAACTGCAAATGTGCCCTGACTCTCTTATTGACAGGCCTACCTCACCGCTCCTCTGTCACTTTGCATTGCTATATATTCCTTCAAAGGCACTTAACAGTTAGAATAGAAACAATAAGATGGAAGCTGATTTTCCTTTTTTTTCTTGAAGTTTGCACATACAACCAAAAACACTATTTTCAAATATTATTGAATTTTGTTTTTTTTTTGGTATCTCTTTGCACATGAGACATAAAACAAAAGTTTTTCCTTTGTTTGTTTGTACACAAACTGAAAAAAAAGAGAACTTTATTCTCATTTCTTCTGGTTTATGTTTTAAGTTTGTACTTAAAATGAAGAATTGGAAGCTGATTCTGTTTCTTCACTCTTTGCCTCAGGTAAGAGGTGAATGGAACATTATTTCTAAACTCTTGTTAAATTCAATTTATACCAAAATTAAATTTTAACTCTTGTTTTTGTTTGTCTTGCCTTTCCAGCTTTTTCTTCACTTACTGCATTCATTTCTCTCAAACAATAACTCTTAAAGATATGTTATTTTTAGCTCTAGCCATGTTTCTTCTTGGTATGACCCTGTTTTGTGCATTTCTTTCTTTTTTTATGCTTTCATATAAAATAATACTGATAATTCAACCAAAGCTTCCAGAATCTAGAAATCTTGTCCACTAAGCTTGTTTCTAAAAAAACATGGCTTCAGTGCAACATACTCTTAGCAAAAAGATAGCAAATCAGGCAGAGGAATACACAGGTTGACCTTTACTCTTATTTACAATGAGATTTGTTCCATCTTAAATGAAATGTCACATCCCCTGGCCTACAGACTGACCCATCTTCTTATCTGCCAGGGGCCCAACCTCCATGAATACTGCCATCTGGCGTTGATTGAGATTCATCCATTTTGTGCTGCACGTGTCAATACATGATTCCTGATAAAAACAAATTATAATTTTAAAAAGTCCTGAGCAGAGTATATTGGAAGTGGTCAAATCTTGGTGAATTTTGGTCTATGGCCATCATTCAGAAAACATGAAGTCAAGTTGTATTTTTCTGAAACATTTTTCAAAAGTTTAAGTGAGCAAGATAGGCATTTTTGGATGATTATGTTTCCATTGGAGAACTTGGCACTATTCTATGAAACAAGCCACAAATGAAAGGCGTGTAAAAGCTAGATGCATGAAATCAGTTGTCTTGAATGCAGTAGGTGATGAGTGGGGTCAACAAAAGATTTTTGGACCGTATCTGATTACATCTCAAGTTAACCAACGCACAAGAATGAATGTAAAAAAAAATGCTCCTTTTCTTGGTATTTAAATACCATGCATTGCACCCCATTAGACCAACACAGACTTACTGCTCTTGTCACAGAAAGGGATTTAAGATTCATTCTCACCTCTTCTGCAGTAACTTTACGATAATTCATATTTGTCACACAAGCAATAAAACAGTTCTGAGTAAGCTTGTTGTACAGCTGTAAGAATTCTTTATACTGAAAATAAATGAGGAATTGATCATAAATTAAGTTATACATCTACATCAGGGACATTATTGGACAATTTACTCAGTTTAACTCATTCAACCATGATTGCTAGAAATATTTTAACTGCCCTGAGATGTAAGATAGCTCAACTGTAATAAAAAACATTGTATTTATGGTCTTAATGTGGGTGTGCCCTGATCTGCAGGTTTACTTTAAAAAGTAAATAAAATAGTACCCTTTTACATTGTCCATCCTTCACTGACAAAAATAACCTCTTAGCAACAGCCAGCCATTCAACAACAGATAAAGGTTCTACAATGTATACAGAACTTGATTTGAAATGCCCCTTTGTTTGAGAGATCACAGCAGAAATGATGTCACTTTATTGTGATATCAACTCATCACAAGTGATTTAACTTATCAGAGTAAGTTCAACATTTTAAGCTTACATAAAGTGCAATTATAAAAGTTTTGTTTTGGATGTTAGTTCTTGGGTATATTACCAATTGGTAACCTGTCAGTCACCTGTCAGTAGCCTGTTGGTCATCTGTTGATCAACAGTCTGTGGATGTGTGTTTGCAGGGAGCTGTTCTTCACAATCACCCAGAAATCCACTTTCTTTAACAAAAAAGGATATGAAGAGCATTGCTCTTCTAAACCTTAACTTTTTATATCTGCATTAATATGATCTGAGTTTAGTATGTAAATGCTACAATAACCATTATGTGGAAAAAAATTTAACCTCATGTGAAATCTGGAATCACACTACACTCCTACCCCCCCCCCTAAACAACTTATTTTTTATAGTACTACTCTCCTTTGGGATCTGACACTGATTGTGACTGCCTCTCATACGAAGCACTTTTTGCAAATGCCTCAAGTTCGTAGTTTTTTCAATCTTCCTCAATCCGTTGCAACTGTCTGATCGGCAAGTAAAGCTATACTAATATTTCAAGAGTAGTTTATTAAATTATCATATCCCTCCTGAGAATGAAAGATACCCAGTCATTTAGTTGATAAGTTAAAAAGAAGAACTATGAACGTTCGAACGAGTACTTCACTGCACTTCGCGTTAAAATCTTCGAGTACAAAAATACACAGAAATCCAAAGAGCGCTTGTTCAGAGGAAATGGTCTAAACTTACGATAGATGAAAATAACCTACGTTTCGAGCAGCTAATTCATCGGCTATGAACCTTTCCATAAGAGGTGATTCTTTGCTTCGTAAACCTGAAACTCAGCCCCAGCCTGTCCTCACAGTTTCTAATTTGACTTATATTCTGTTTAACAAAGATAAAAACCGGATAAAGAATGCAAAGCAATTCGATACTCAATTTTTCTGTGTAAAGACTGTTTTAAGGCAGAATTTATATTACTGACCCACGCTTCGTGAGGTGCTGAAACCTGCTCTAAGTAGGGTAGGGGATCGTCTGTCGTACCGAACAAGGGCAATGAGTGAACGGGAGATCGAGTCAGCAGTCCAGTCAGCAGCTTATCAACTGATCATGCGCGAATGGATATCTGGCAGTCTCGATCGCTGTCTATCTGTTATGGTTATTCCCGCCAAATTTGTGCTAAATTGGAAGCTAACTTGAGTCGGCAGGGTTTGGGAGCATTCCTTCAGTCATAAAAGTACGTTTAAAGAGTCACTCGTGTTTGTATTTCAAATGTAAAAGATATATTCGCAAAAATTGTATTCGTCGTTTTGTGTTTGGCTGAACTCTCATACATTGTGTTCCCTTAGGTTCATAAGATGGGTTATTTACAACGGCTGGAGTTAGAAAATTTTAAGTCCTATAAAGGAAAACATACTATTGGACCTTTCAAGCGTTTCACAGCTGTTATTGGACCTAATGGATGCGGTAACTATAGCTATATTCATTTGCTTAAGTTGTGTGGTGTGTAAGTTGCAGGTTCTCTGAGAATGAAAGCACGGAGATATCTTTAAATGGACAAATCAACAGTTGACTTTGTTAAGAGCAAAGCGTTAATTAACAAATAGAGAAGCCTTGACTGTGCTCTGTTCTGTTGTAAAGCATGCAGGAACTGGCTAGAGCACTAAAGAAGTGTAGGGAGAAAGACAAGACGTAGTCAAGTGTAGCTGCTTCCTAAGCACTTATCACCTAAGCACTCACCTTAGCACCTAAGCACTCACTTTCATGAGCACTTAGGAAGCGGCTAAAACACTCAAGAAGTGGGGAGAAACACTCAACTAAATCTTGTGTTTCTCCCTACACTTCTTTCATGCTATAGCTTTTGTGCTCTAGTAAAGTTTACAACAGAACAGAGTCAAGGCTTCTCTATTTGTTTTATAATAAAGAATCTGTTGAATTCCTCAAGCATTACTTTCAATTTTTAAAAACAAATTCTATTTCTGAAGCCAACAACAGCGTCGTCAGCATGCTCTATACTCTTATAAAGCATGCTATAATAAGTGAATCAGAATCCCTGTTAGAATAGTTCAAATAATCAGATTGGCTGATCAAGACTAAAGCTGTCAAAAATGTCAAACCATCAAAGTTAAAAAAACCATCAAAGTTAAAAAACCATCAAAGTTCACATTCTGCAATAGTTTACAAACTTAAATAGTGTGGTACGTTGAATTTAACACTTTTTCGTGAAGTTTTTTAGTCTCTAATACAGAATCTGAAAGTGAAGTGTTCATTGAAATTTGGCCAAATTGCAGCACAAAAACACAGAAGTTTTTTCACATGACAAGTAGAAATAAACTGTTCAAGGCGAGGGTTTTATAAATGAACGACAACCAAATTCAGCTGAACATAAAGATTGCTCAGAAAGATAGCACTATAAAAGTCGGCCACAGTGACTGATGTGGCCTTCCACTCAGCGCATTGGAAAGGATATTAGAGCATGCTCTTATTTTGTAACTCGAAGGGCAGGTGATTTAGTTTCTGAGGCTTGCTTCACTGTGATGACTGGAGATCATGATGAGCTAGCTGTGATAGACCTCAGCATGATCACAGTCGCTCTGACACCATCATGATAAGTATGAATTTTAACAGTTATGCCAGTTCAATTACATTTTTCATCATTCCTGTTTTGTTTTTGAACACAAAATTTTATATACTATATGAGTTTTAGCTATGTGTGATTTTTATTACCCTATGTAAGCTTACAATGTAACTGAGCGTGAAAACCTTTAAAACTTAGACTGTCCATTTTGTTTTCTCTTTGAGTATTTTCATCTCTGCTCATGTTATAATAATGTAGATTACAGCGCCTGGCCTGTTTACAAGCGTTTGTTTGGTTCTTCTGTTGTTACCTGCTCACTCACTTGTTCCCGAAATTATACTTTCAATTAATGAAAAAAGCTAGAGAGAAGTCCTGGAAAAGGTCAGACATAATTCAATTTGGCAGATGGTGTGACAGCTTTAGCTCAGCCCCATGCTCTATACTCTCATAGAGCATGCTCTTTCAACCAATGAGCAGCACACATTAAATCCGAAACTTTATCATTAAATAAAATTAGCATTGGTTATGGAACTGAGTGGAGTCCAATTTGGTCTGTAATAAACTTTATTATTAATTATAATAAAGGTCGGATATAACGCGCGCTCTCATTGGTTGAAAGAGCGTGCTCTATGAGAGTATAGAGCATAGAACTGAGCTAAAGCTGTCATGCCATCTGCCAAGTTGTACCATGTTCAACCTTTTCCGGGACAAGAGCACTCAAGAAGTGGGAAGAAACACTCGACTACGTCTCGTGTTTCTCCCTACACTTCTTTCGTGCTCTAGCCGCTTCCTGCGTGCTTTATAACAGAACAGAGCACAGTCAAGGCTTCTCTATTTGTTAAATAAAAATTAGCAATGGTTATGGAACTGAGTGGAGTCCAATTTGGTCTGTAATCATATGAGTTAGTAACAAAATGGGATGACCACAGCAGGAGTCTGATTTGTTATTTATTAGTATGATTATGGACAGAGTTTGACCATTAAAGTCCCGTAACCTGTCAATCAAAAATATGACAAAATTTGATAAGTAATGTAGCCATTGGTTATATGTTTTTATATAAAAAACAAAAGTTAAGTTGGTGGAAGGCTCATCAACAGGGCTGCCCAGCACTTGACACATACTTTCCAGTTACAATATATTAGGCATGATGCCTATGCTGTTCATTATATGAACATGACGCATACTCTGTCTGTAGCTGCTATGGGCAACTAAATCTCAGCAGATCAATCAGACAGTTTTTAACGCAACTCTACAATACATTTAATCTCAACAATTGCTGATGTAAGGTGGTATTGATTGGATCAGTTAAAACTGCCAACAAAATAGCGAGTTAAAGCTTATTATAATGTGAATTAAGCTAAATGCACCTAAAACTACATACGGTAAGGAAAACTAAAACAAAAGTAACAATGAAAACTAAGTAATACAAAACTTACCTTTGTTGTGATGCTTTAGAATTACTGCCTAATGGCAAAGAAGCTGCACAACATGTTGCACAATGAAAATAATTTCTGCTTCGCAAGTGGACTTACTGAGTAAACTGAACAAACTGTGATGAACATATTGTCGAAATACATGCTATGTTATGCAAAGTTACATAATGTAAGGTAGCGTAGTGCACGCAAAATTTGAACTGTAATTAATGTTGTTTGTACAAGAGCAATAAACAAAAAAAAAGAACAAGGCATTTGTGATCTACACTGTCCCTTGTGCTTAAATTGAGTTGGTGATAACCAATCACGTTCAACAAATTTTGTTACAGTTTTGATTAACATACCAATCATAACCATTACAATTGCCTCAAATGTGATTGGTGCATTAGCTGCTAATTTTTAGAAATGTTGTTGTTAAATTGTGATAACAACTCATTTTATAAGAGTTTCAATGTATTCAGACTCTGAGTGAGTAACTTTAACTTTCAAATTATCCATGAAGTACAGTCAAACTTTTGTTTTTCTTTTCATTCTTGGGTATGTTACCAATATTGCTGATCTTTTGGTTATCTGTCAGTTGATAGTCAGCCAACAGGGTTACTCAGGGAGCTCTTCCTCACAATTACTGGAAAATGAGTGTTGGTCTTACAGATTCACTAACATACATGTGTCACTGGTGCATGACCAACAATAAGTTGCTTGTCATATAGCTTGTGGTATTGGTTAAACCTGTCGTTGGTTGATGAAGGGAGATGTTCTTTACTTCAACCTATTTTTCAGAGTTGAACAATGACTTTATTCAGTTTAAATACCTAAGGTTGACTCTTTTGGAAAGTTTATTGTGTTATGAGTGACCTCTTGTAAATTAAACAAGTAACTTAAATTCTTATTTTATTAGGCAAGTCTAATTTAATGGATGCTATCAGTTTTGTATTTGGAGAACGCACACAAAGTCTTAGAGTTCGTACTGTTAAGGTGAGTGAATTTCCTAGTCCAGAGATACAATTTAATTTTTTTCACTATAACTTCTGTATTCATGTGTTACCAAAAGGCTGTTGTCATGGTGAGATCAAATACATAATTAATTGCTGGAATTAAGGTTTTTTAAGCTAAGTTTTGAATGAGTGTCAAGATAAAGTTATTTTTCACAGTGAGCCTAAATGAATGCTTAACTGATCCAATACTCAGAAAAAAATCCTCAGGGATAAGCTGCATTGACTACATGTTATGCTATACATATTACTTGATCACAATCTGGTCTCTCTTTTTCTTGCCCCAAGGGTCAGAAAGAAGAAAGAATCAAGGAACAGGGTCGACTTGATTGAAGATCATTAAAATTTTTTTGTTTATCTAACACAGGATCTCATTCATGGAGCTCCTATTGGCAAAGCTGTATCCAGTACAGCAATGGTTACTGCTGTTTATGCAGAGGAAGATGGAACTGAGATAAACTTTACAAGGAAGTATGTTATATATGCTTTTGAAACTCTACAAACTTAACAATTAATTGCATACTCTCTTTTTAAGGTCTGTTTTTCTACACTGAATTTGTAAACCTCAAAATTGGACTTTTACAGCACCACATAGTGTATTGCAGCACTATAAGTGGTTGGTACTTGAAATCCAAAAGGATTTGACTCTCAAATCTTGATAAGATCACCAACAAGCATGAGCCAGTCACTACTATTTTGGGTTCCTTACAAAATTCAATTTAAACTACTTGCACTGAGACAAAAGTACATATCTAAAACAAAAAGACTTGTGTGGCTTCAGCTCTTGGTTATCTCTTAGAGATATTTGTGCCCTAAATTTCTCTGAAGTTTTCCTGCTGTATGTGAACAATTTTGTTGGGTTCCTTGTGAATTTCAGTTTAAAAGGTTTTTTATTATTGTTGTCAAGAGCTGTGTAGCTTGTAAATCATTTCATTGTGTTTCTTCTTACAAGGATTGTTGGTAGTGGCACTGAGTACAGAATTGATAACAAAGTTGTCACCCCACAACAGTACACTTCAAAACTTGAAAGTTTGGGAATATTGGTAAAAGCCAAGAATTTTCTTGTGTTTCAGGTAAATCTTCAATAATTTCCTCTCCTAAGCATAGAATGGCAGTTGAGGTTTGAGAGATAACTGCTTGGACTAATATTGATGACTGTATCTAATCATTGTTCCTACAGGGGACTGTTGAATCGATTGCCATGAAAACTCCGAAAGAGAGAACTCAGATGTTTGAAAAAATCAGCAGGTATAGTGGGAATAAGTAACTTTATTTATTACATTTCTCTTTGTAAGCTGTCAGACACCCTATTCATCTCTGGCATTTTCAGAGTATGATCTCAAATTTTGATACTATGTACAGGGTTACATTTTTCACACAGCCAAGGCATCATATATAGCTTGATTCCATGTTACTCATAAATGCTTTGCTAAACTTTAGATCAGGTGAGCTTGCAGACGATTATGACAAAAAGAAAGTAGACATGCAGAAGGCTGAAGAAGAGACAAGTTTTAATTACCATAAAAAGAAGGTATGAAAGTTCTTTCTCTCACAGTTAATAATATTGTGGAAGATGTTGTTTCCAATAAGAACAAACTGCTTGCTGATTCTTGGGGACCTTTAAACAAATTGATTTGATTTTTATCTGAAATGCATTTCTATGAGATATGCCATCTGATAGGAATCAGAAATAAATGTTTCTAATTTAAAAGATGACTTGTGTTTGTTTTCAACATCATTTAAAAGTTGGCACATAATCAGACTTTCCTCTTGTAAATTGGGGAATATCTTGATCACTTTCAAGGGAAAAGAAAAATAACCCAAACTAGCTCTCTGTTATGTTCAGATCAATCTATATGGTTAGTGTCAAAAACATTTGGGTGGTTGGGCATGTTCAAGGTATTCAAAACCACAAAGTGTGTGGGCCATAAATCAAAGAGGAAAACTAAGACCCTATAACTTACCATGCTCACTGAGATGTGGATTGTCTTGGGAAACAAGGCCTAGTTTTATGGAATGCTATCAGATAATTGATGCACTTCCAAAAGGAAATTAAGACAATTTGCAGTTGCTTTTCAGTCATTGACACATCTGAACACTTTTAAAGAAAGCAAGTTTCATTTGCTCTTCAGTGAGTTAATCTTGAACAACTCATTATTTCCAACAGATAAAAGGTTTTGGTTTTTGACACTATTAACAGTGTGTCTAGGGACTGGGAAATGCAAATTTGTTCAGAATGAATTAAAATACGTACTGGAGTGATTGCTTTGTCTAACTTAGGGAATTGCAGCAGAGAAAAGAGAGGCCAAAGCTGAGAAGGAAGAAGCTGACAAATACCACAAGCTGAATCAAGAACTGGTAAGGTTCTAAGCTAACGTACAGGAAAAATTTTAATCAACATCAAAAATTTAGTCTTTTTTAGAAAAAAAAATTGGTGGAGACTGGCTGAATAAGGCTGAATTGTAATACAGCAATTACCATCACTAGCTGGATATGCAAGTCAAAACAATTCAGAGTGAAGCCTCTACTTAGTGAATACCTCATGAAGCAGACACCTATCAGTAATATTAAGCCAACTAATTTCCTAATTTTGTCACCCATATCTACTCCAAAACTATCTTATATTCAGTAGACACCTCTACTTAGTGGATGCAGCACTAACATTAAGCCTTTTAGTGACCTAAGCCCTTCAAGATGTTTTGTCATTGAGTAGATACATTGTAGTTCTCAGTATCATATGTTATGGTGTGTGCAATGCAAAATGTAATGCACATACACAAGAAAAGGCTCCTAACACTTGAATTGATGAAGTAGTTAATGATATATTACTATAAAAATTGCATGCCCTACTAGAACCTACAAGAAGATGCCATGTGTTAGGTGGACATTAGCAAGGGTCCTATGAGTGTGTATTTAAAGCAGGTTTAACCATAGTTAACTGTGCTCTGTAGATCAAAGCAATCCAACCAGCTTTGTCTAAATTGATAATGATTATTAAGCTATAATATTTTATTATTATGGAAAATCATTTCCCAAAATGATACTGTTTGCTAATGTTGATAGGTTCTGTTTGTTCATTTTAATTTCATCAGGAAAGTTGTCAACTTGAAGTTAAGTTGTTCCAGTTGTATCACAATGAACAAAGTATAAATCACTTAACTAGTGAACTGAAAGCTAAATCTCGTGACTTGGACAAACTTGACCAAAGGAAAAATGAAATTGACCAGCAGCTCAAGAGTAAGAAACAAGACAGCGCTAAGTTATCAAGGGAGATGGCTTTTGTAGAGAAGAAAATAACCAGCAAGGTACCAAAATTAGAGAAAACCTCTTTTATATAGTTTACTACCAAAGTAGCTAAAACATGCAGAATATTTTCATGCATTAATTGTGTATCCAAGTCCACAAATGTTGCTAATTACCCTGACATTGGTACAGCATACCATTAGGTATGAGGAATAATGATGCAGAGAAAAGCAAGTTACCTATTTTGTTGAAATAAGCACAGTATTAAAATAGTAGCTAACTTTGAACCATGCAGGAAAGTTTAGACATGGAATATAGTGTGTCACTCATGTATGCATAGCACTTTTTACACCAATTCTAGGCTTAGTTTGAGTTCACCACAGAATAATCTTAGACCAAAGTCATAATTATAGTTGGTAATTACAACAGTGTCATAACTTGAACCTAAACTTATGCAATGATTTCAATAGCGTTATTCTATTTTATACAGGAAGCAGAACTGAACAAGAACAGACCACAGTATATTAAAGCCAAGGAGAAAACCTCTCATGTTTTGAAGCGGCTTGAATCTTCTAAGTAAAGACCTAAGATTTTATTTTTTTAACCCTCAGTGTATCAGATCTATTAGAGTTTTTTACTGGCACAAGATAAATTTTAACCCTATTGTGCATAGTGAAGTATAATGGGGCTTTTAGTACAGGTAGTACACTCTACTCACTGAGCTATTTTATTTGTATCATTATTTGACTAAGGATTTCAGGAAATAGTAAGGTGCTTTATAAATGAAAGCAGAACTATCCCATTTATAAGTTATGGTTAGTTTGAGATACTTTTGATACTGGGAAAATTTTCCTCTGATCATATCATTATAAGATTTCATAAAATTTTGCTTTGAAACATTCTTTTGGGTGCTGTATTGTCACCTTAAAATTTGAGTATACATATAGATCAGTTCAACACAGATAGATAAATCTAAGGACCTTTCCAGCTAAATAAAGAAAGGATTTTATTGCATACTCCTACTGGAGTGCTTTTTAATTGAGTGTAGTAAAACCAAAACAAATTGAAAGTAGTCACAATGGCCAGACAGAAGAAAGGAGAATGAGTACTGAAAGTAAAACCTACCAACTTCCTAAATCATGGGAAAACACCAGTGACCAAGTCATGATTGGTTTTACTTTTGTATCTGATTGGTTAAGAAAGTGTTGCAAGTTTTCTGGACCAATCACAGAGGGTAAAAAAAGCCATTGAGGATTACTTGCAACACTCCATTGAAAATTGCTCCTTTTGTTTAACTCGGATAAATTGAACAATAGCTGCGATAGTTTTTATGACACTTAGGTGAAACTTTTCTTTGCCTTTGAAGGAAAGCTTTTGACAAAGCCAAGAATGTTCATAAAAAGCATGAAGCTGAAGTAAGTTAAATGTATATTCAGGAAAATATTGTAGTGATTTTAATAGGCAGTACAGTCAAATATGTACATACTGTACATGCCTATATCTACACTGTTGGCAATCAAAATTGAAACCTTTTCTTTTGAAACAAGTTCAAAGTTTAGCATGTGCATTGAAGAATTAAAATTATTGAACAAATCAAAAAAGAAATTATAAACAAGGAAGTAAGGAGGAAAATATCATGTGCATGAGATAAATAATCTCCACACATTGCTTAAAGATTTGAAAATAAATTAACTGAAGGGAGTAGTGTAATGTAACATGCTGTTACAGGAAGTCAAATTATATGTGAAAGCTGTGTAAGAATGTTTTGGAAGACCCCTGTAAAGGTACTTCACATGGAGAACATCATTAAAAACCTTTTCATTTAATTCTGACAGATCAGGGAGCTTGAGCATGATTTGGATGAGGTTCGCAATGCAGCAGCAAAGTATGAGGAAGATGTGTCAGGAGCAAGTCAAGATGAAAATGTGGAACTGATGGATTCACAGGTGTAAAAGTCATACATCACTTCCTAGAATTAGGGAACAACTTATTTGTGCCATTGATAATTATAATTAAAATGTTCTTGATTAAGGGAAAATACATTCAAGTGTTGAAGTCAACCTGTACTTGATTGTTGGTTTCAAGATTGATTGTTACCATGCTTGATCAAGCCAATTTTCACAGGAGAATCTGATCACCTCTGCAAGGTTTTTCTGAAACTAAAGTATTCACAGCACTGAAATACAACAGAAATTTAACAGCTCAGCTACTCCAAGATTTTAGTGCATACACATCATCCTTTTGTCACTGACTTGATGATGACAATGAATCAACAAATCTTTATTGAAAGTCAGGCTTCAATATTCTTACTGGTTTTAAGTACAAAACTTTTCATTCCAATTACAGAAAGCTTGGTCACTCAACCAATAAAAACCAGTCACATTTCACAAATTCTAATATGTTATGAATATGGCCTTCTTCATGGTTGGTGAGGGTGCATGATTTTTAATCATGGGTTGTGAAGAGGTGCCAAGGGATGAAAGAGTCTAAAAATAAAAATTGTACATGCAAACTGACCATGAAGTAATTTGTTTCTTATATTAGTACTGGGATATTACAAATGTTTGTAACTTTAAATTGCAGTCAACTGAGACAAAGAAGTTGCGAACTTGACATTGCCTTTATTAAGACCCAATCAGTTTTTTGTTACATTTCTTGTTGTGCATAATTATTTAGATAGGAAATTAATAAACATTTCCCAAAAAAAAGACAAAATAAACACAATATTTTCACACTGAAAGGCAGAGAGCGTAAGTTCAGTTATCTCAGTATTTGATTCTCATAAACATATTCCAAATCCCTCTGTGGAGTTAGTAAACATTCTATTTCTTATGTTTTATTAATAGGTTGAACAATATCATGCATTAAAGGAACAGGCTGGGAGGGAGACTGCAGCCCTTAAGTTACAGTTAGACAAGGTACAAACTTATTGCAGTTAAAGATTGTAAGCTCAGTTCCCTTCTATTTGTACCAGATATTGTATTGTGAATAATTGAAGTTCTTTTTTTATGATGTATACATTAATTTTTCCTAAAAAGTATCTTTTTTTTACCTTGTCACATCACAAGATTGTGAGAGAGCAGAACTCTGAACAGGAATTCCTAGACCAGTTAAAACAGAAAAAGGTGGATCTTCTTGCTCAGCAGAAACACAAGACAGATCAAAGGTGTGTGCTGGATTCTAAGAGTTGAGTTAACAAGAAGAGGCAAAAATTTTAACCATTTGCTTTTTCAACTATATCTGCTGTTTCAAGTATCTATGCCTTGTTTAGTCTTGCGTTGGCTATACACATGACTATTAATGATAATATGGCCCAACCCTCACTACAGATACCAAATGTTATTGTTATTATTACTTGTACAGTACAAGCAAATATTTAATAGAACTTCATTTGACAGGTAGCACCCCAACTTAGGTGGTCAACTTGTCAGCACATATGGGCAATTGTGAAATGGGGAAAAATTGAAACAAACATTTTTGACCGAAAATTCAAAGCATTTTACTATGGTTTTTCTTATGATTAAATGCAGTTTAATAGAATATAAAGGAGTTAACAAAAAAGAGCATCAGCGTTCTCTAGTAGTCAGTGGTTTTTTCGCATATGCATATGTACATGCACTGGAATTCCATGGGCTCTGCGTGTGCTTTGAGTGTGAACTTGCAGCATTGTGAGGAGTGCCAGCTCATTGTCAAGGCAGTTTTCCCCACCCCTTCCCTTGCTCTTTCCACTGTTTATTCAGTGTGATGAATATATATGAGGCCTGTAGAGAAGAATCTTGGTTGTCCTCGCTATAGTTGTATTTTTATTTTATATGACATCTTATTTTTAAATTATCCAATCATAAACCACATGAATAACTGTGTCTGACTCAACAGGACTCAACTCACAGAGAGAATTGAAAAACTTGATGAATATATTAGGTTTGTAATCACTCATTTAACAATTTCTTTTTCTGACAAGTAAATGAATGGTTGTTGGGGTAGACTTACATGTTTACAAAATTAAACTAATGTTTATATTTTCTTGAAGTGTCATTATATTTCAGGCATGGCTATTTTCTAGCACCTAATACTAGTTTTCTCTAACAATTTGTTCACACTGATAAGCATGAAGTTTTATGGGGGTTCATAGGGATTCAACAAAATGTTGAAAAAGTTAGAAAATTTGCAAACACATTTTCATGGATGGGAAAAATATGGGAAGTAGAGAGAAAGTCTGAAAAAATGGTAAGAATTTCACTTTAAACTCAAACTCAGACCTTTCAATTTAGCACTTAATTTCTCAACCAACCAAACATCAGAGAACGGAGACTCATAATTATTCTCTGATCCATTATGATATAAGATTAAAACATATGTTAGATACACATGTTAATGTTCACTTTGTTTTTGTCCTGAAGCACGAACATACAAACAGTGGATAAGTTGAGGCAAGATCATGACAAAATGGAAAAGGACATCAAGTAAGTTCTTTTAAATTTCTACATCCACAGTATTTCAAGATATTTATTTAAGTCATTCTTCATAGGTAATTAGATCAACCAGAACACTTTTTTTTTTTCAATTTCCAAATTATGCTTTTCATGGGGTAGACAAAAGCTGGAAACGTAAGAGCAAAGTCCATAAAAGGATTCATAAAGTGTGAAAGAGATGGGGAAGAAATTGGACAAAAGATGAAAATAAAACATTAGAACATTTTGAAATGTGTGGCAATGAGTGTTCTCTTGCATCTGTTTAGCTATTATAAGTTTGCAAGCTTATAGAATTTTCAGTATCTTTTTAAAACTTGTCTTGAATGCCTTCCTTGTCAAATACAAGGAAGTCATTCTTGGAAAATGTCTGTTATTATCTAATATAAAAGAAATTAAAAATAAAACTAGATCAAAATGTTAACTCATAGTATACTGTGGAGAAAAATGTTCACCTCCCTTTCATTATGCTATTTTCCTAGTGATGCCAACTCTCGTCATAGTGAAATTAGTCAACTTCTTGAAGGTGTACAGGGAGAATTAAATGAAGCCAAAATGGACAAACACGAAAGTGCTAGACATCAAAAGAAGCAAGAACTTTTGGAGAGCATGAAGAGACTCTTCCCAGGGGTTTATGGGCGACTTATAGATCTCTGTGAACCAGTCCACAAAAAGTTAGTGTACATACAGTCTTTTTTTATCTTAATTTCATAGGTCCAAGGGCTGTCTTTTTACACAGCTGTTTGCCTTATTGAAAACTTGAGAACTGTGCACTAATGTCTTCAGATCAAGTGAGCTCAGTTGTATCAGGTGTGGGGAGTTACAGCTGTTATTGCCAGCCTAGAGGACATATGTGTATAGGTCTTTGGAAAGAAAGTCCTGAGTTAATTCAAGACAGAAAGCAATTTTTATTAAATATATACTTATTTATTTTTATGTTCTTGCTTCTTAGGTATACACTTGCAATAACAAGGGTCCTTGGAAGAAACATGGATGCCATTGTTGTGGATACAGAAAAAACTGGAAAAGACTGCATTCAATATTTAAGAGAACAGGTTAGTAAAGGCTTACTTGCCTTGTATGTCCTTTGGATGTTGGATGTTGCCTGACTTGTGAAAGAGGAAGCTGTAGCTACCAAGGTGCTTGGCAGAGAGGAATAAGTTTTTATTTGCTCTTAATTTGAAATGACAGCTTTCCATTCTAGACTGAGAATTAAGAGTTGTGTCTTTTCTTCTTCCTCCAATAGCCTAAACCGGCAATTTTATGGTATTGGGTTTCTTAAAAAAAACTTTAGATGTCAAGATTCCCTTAAGTTGCAGTCATTCTTATTTACTGTGCTTAGTTTTAAAATATTTTTTGTCATCATTTTAATTTTCAACAGGTACACAAACTGGAAAGACAAGAATATCAAACACATTTTACAGGGTTTTTTTTTTAATATTTAAACTAATTGTTACAAGCAGAAAACCACCCACTGAATGCACAGGGCAAGCAAATTTCCACGTACAACTGAACTGATTAGTATGTTGCATGCTAAACTGATTGGTGATTTTTTCTTGCTGATAGCGAGCTGATCCTGAGATGTTCCTTCCTCTGGACAGCATTCAAGTAAAGCCCATCAATGAAAAGTTGAGGCAGATTGGTGGTACTGCTAAGCTAGTCATTGATGTAATTAGATACAACCCACCAGTTGTCAAGGTACTTACAAAAGGTTTTTGAATAGTTACAATCATTAAAAACTGCCTAAGTATGAAAATGGTCGAAAACTCTACAATGGTTGGTTATGCTCTATGCTCCTAAATTGATGGGGACCCCTTTATCCCTAGGATAGACTATACCTTCACTTTTTTAATTACTGTGGTAAAAAAATATCCTTTTGCATCAGTGTTATGGACTTTAAATATTAAGGAAGAGGCTAATATAGAGTTTGAGTGAAAAAAGTTTTACTTAATGAGAGCTAAAAGTTGGCAAATAGATATGCTGCTGACTAAACTGTTGTTATGCAACTATATTTTGTTTGCTTTGTAGAAAGCATTGCAGTTTGCTTGTGCAAATGCCCTTGTCTGTGATGGAATGGAGGAAGCAAGAAAGCTTGCATTTGGTGGTGCAGAGAGAAAGAAGACAGTCTCCTTAGATGGAACACTTTTCCAAAAGTCTGGTGTAATTTCTGGTGGAGTAAGGTATGATAATGGTTTTTGAATTGTTCATATAATGTTTCAGAAATAAAGCCAAGTTGCATTTCAGTGTGCAGTGTCTGGAGTTATTACAATGCCCACAAATTCAGCTTTTTTATGGTATTTATGTGGCTAAGACATCTTCAATTAGATATAAATGGCTCGGTAGACACATTTACAAACTCAGTTCATGAAAGATAAGGTCAATTTTGCCAATGTTGATCAATGTTAGATAACTTGAATCCACCTGTCTTTGTATCTTTTTTCTATTTATTCTTTTTTGGCACAAAGTGATCTAAAGGCAAAGGCTAGACGGTGGGATGAGAAGCAAGTTGAGGGAATGAAGAAAAAACGTGACAGCTATTTGGCAGAATTAAAAGATCTTAGCAAACACCGTAGGAAAGAGCCAGAACTGCAGAACCTGAGATCTCAGATTGATGGGCTTGAACACAGACTGAGATACTCTACTAAGGATAAAGAAACTACAGTAAGTCAGTTTCAGTTTACAGTCATCAGCCATGCACATTGTTACAGTTGCTTATGTCCTTATTTATTGCTATTTGAAGCCCCTCTAAACACCCTTTCTAACTTTCTTTGCTGTGGCAGTTACTTAGTTATTTAGCAGAATAAACCTTCTACCTTACATTTACTCATTTCCAAATCCACCCTGACACTAAAAAGTAGGACTTTGATCAAAGTAGGGAAAAAACACAAATCCCATCATGCTTTGTTGGGCTTGGTTCTTTTTCGTCCCACTTTAAGTGCCTAAACAGAGGCACTTTGGTCGTGAGATGTGCTTAGACATTCATTACATCAAAATTGTAGTTACAAGTGAGCTTCATGCATTCCTTGCACTTAAATCAGTAGGCATGTTTTCCATACTGTTCCCCATACATTTACTAAAGTGCTGAAAAGGACAATTTTTTTTCAACATTCAAGATCATCTTTAGTTGATGATCATATCATTTATTCTTGTGACCTTATTGGGTGATTCAGGGGTGATATTGCAAGACAATATCAGGTGCTAGTTACTTTTAGGTATCAAAGATTTAAACCTTTTTTAGTCTATGTACATGATGATCTCCACTCCTTTTGTACCTGTTATGGTAGTAACAATGTAACATATATGATTTTCACATATTCACAGTCACTGATAGGTTTTTTGTCATTAAAAGGAAAAACAAACTCTTGGAGAAATTTCTAAGGAGCTGAAGATCATAAAGAAAGAACTAGACAGCCTGGAGGTATACCCACACACTCCTTAATGACTGCTCCTTTACTACATGTTGTCAGCGGTGACCTTGCCATTCTTGGCATGTTGGCTTTGTTGTTAACTCCTGCCTGACTTACACAAGAGAATGAAACTTCAAAATTCATGTTCTTTGCATTCTTTTTAGCCGAAGAGAGAGAAGTTGCTTCTTTCAATGGCCAAGAGGAGTGAAGAAATCACTAATACTGAGAAAAGAATGAACAGAGTGGAGGACCAAGTAAGCCATAGTAGTTATTATTAATAATGTATGGAAATACGGTTTTGATAAAATTAAATCTCTTCCCCAGATTCTTCTAGCTTTCTGAATGATTATTTTGTCACATGTACTTCTTGATTGATTGGTTTAGTTGATTAATTCTACATATTTATCTTTTTATTTTTGGTGGAGGGGGTGAGTATAAATGGCGCTATGAGGAAAATAACATTCACATTGCAGTTAAGTTGTATCCTAAAGGATATCAAGTTTATCAGACTTAGTACCATCTAAACATGTATTTAATCTCAGGTTTTCAGAGGATTTTGTGAGCAAATAAATGTGGAGAACATAAGGTGTGTTGCTCTTTAAAGATAACTTTTTTGACTTTTAAAACCTTAATATCAGGAGCACTTTTTTGCCTGAATTTATGTTTAAGATTTATGAGAGGGTGTATGTACAGATTTATCTATTATTTAGGTTGTAATAATCTCCATAATTTTTTTAATACATGCAATTGTCAAAAACTTGTTTGTTTAAACACTTACAGAATATAATATATATCATTGCTAATGAGAGGCAAAAGTTTCCACTGTATACAAGAAAGAGGCTTTCATAATTTGAAAAAGAAGTATTGATATTTCTTGTCATATTATTTGTGTTTTGTCAGTTTGATGGTAAATTCACTTTGTGTAAGGTAACCTTTAGTTGACTTTGAATCTGTTTTCTTTGACTGTATTAAAGAGTCATTTGGCTTTAAAGTGATTCCTCAGAAAAAAAGTTATGAAACAAAATTCTTTTAAACTTTCCTTTAATGATTCCTACCAATGTTTATTTTGAAAAATTCAATGGAAAAAATAGGTAATTGTGCTTGTTTAAGAGATACGATCAGCAAATCTTCCCCCATTTTTGCTTGTACTGGCACTAGTCATGTACATTATTTCATCAGTTCACAGTAAATTTTGTGGTAACCAGAAGCAAGGGTTTTTAAAGTAACACTTCAAAAAAACTTGAAATGGTAGAAATTTTTTAGTATATGAACCAATTTGATGTATAATTTATGGAAAAATCATGCAATTTTAAACAAGTCCTTGCTTTCAAGGTCATAATTTGCATTATCAAGCAACAGGCTTTGTACATGCTTTTAGCTATATCTTTTTTTCCTTTTTTGAATTTCCCAATATAAAGGGGATAATTTGTACATTTAGATTATGCAATTTAAAAAGGTGGATCACAGTGCTCATTCAAAAGCTAAAGACCATTTTCCTCTTCACCTGGTCCATTGATGAAAAACAATACCTTGTTCTCAGAAGGCACACATGCTTATTGGCCTGATTATATGATTTTTATGAGCAGTACAGGATACGGAATGCAACACTGAGGAATCACTTTAAGTCCTCCACACAGATTTCTAATCTGTGTTGAAAAGGGCTTCTGGATATGTTTTTCCTTCTTCAACAGTAGAGAATGGCAAAAATATAGCCCATTGTTGAGTTGTTAACACCAAACACAAAATAAGGGTGTTTAAGTTAACCTGTATGGAAGATGATCATAAGGTATTTGATTCATGCAAGGTTATGATCAGTAAATGACAAGGGTGGTGAAATTGATTCATATGAGCACAAGATCAACAAATTGTTTCAGTTTTTTGTGTCAGTAATGTATGAAATCAGACCCTACAGTCCATTTGAGCTTTCTTAAGTCTGATTTAGTGCTTTTAGTGTTATTTTCTTTTGACAAAAATCCTCTGTTTTTCGCAATTTATTATACAAAGGCAATATGAAGAAAAACAACTTAAAGCACGGCTAGAGAGGGATCAATGCCGCCTAGAGTTTAACAACCAGGAGTCACGCCTCATAAATCAGGTTTAGAAATCCACATACTCTTTCTCCTGGAAGTTTATATGAGACACCTGTAAATATTACCTATTAACAACCATTTCACATGGTATCTTTGCATTTTATTTATTCATTTATAAAAGCTTTCCAGGAGATTTTTCTAATCTATAAAAATACTCATTCAAAAAGAGAGCAGCGATTTTGTTAGCAGTATGAATGTGTGCACTGCATCTCTAAAACTCACATTGTCATGGTATTTTTTTGCTCAGAAAAGATATTTATGCAACATACTACTTTGTATGTCATCAAATCTTAAACTCTGTCATCCACTTTAACTGTAGTAATCATTACAAATCTCACTAGTTCTTATTGGTTAATTGTACAGTTGGAGTATGAGAAAGGAAGAGATACCAAAGGTATGAAATTTTGAAAATAATTTTTCATATAGTGGCATTTTCAAGAAGATGAGAAGCGATTTATCCAGTCTGCATCATTGAGGCTAAGCAATCTATAATAAAACAAATCTATTGTAAAAATTCTATGTTGTATATGATTATGTCATGTTTGATGATTATGTCCTCAATGCCCAGTAAGTATGATTAGTGATGCCCCTTTTGATAGTTTACTATTAAGTTTGAGGATTGCTGGAAAACTTCCCATGTCAAATAGCATGTGACAAATCTACTCTCCGCACACATTTGCTTTTATAAATTGCAGTCACAGCCCTAAAACCCTCCCTTCTGGGAACCAGAAAAAAGGAAAGAAAGAGGAGAAGCCAGACAAACAATTATGCTTCCCTGACAATTTATTTCCTCTAGAAACCAGGAATCCTTTTCCCATCTGTTGTTCAGACAAATGCCTCTGTGCTCCTTTATTATTAGACCTTTACTGATGCTGTCAAACACATCTATGTATTTACAAAGATTTTGGTGCTCACGTTAGTCAATAAGTCTTGATTTAAAAGGTTTGGTCAAATGGCATTTTGTTTAAAGGTCAACTAAAAAAACTGGAGGAAAGCATGGCAGCTGATGAATTAGAGATTGAAAAACTCAGAGGAGAGGAAAAGGAGAAACTGAAGGTAACTACTTCCTTCATTTCTCTTGCATCAAGAATGTAACAGAAATTACTCTTTTTATGTTTTCATTTATGAGGAAAATTCACCATTTTAGACATATTAATTAATTAAACTGGTTGATTTATTTGCAGTTAATTGAGAAAGACACAACAGAGTTGGAAAAGCTGCGTTTGGAAAAATCAGCAAAGAAGTCTCAGATAGATGAGAAGGTAAACAGGGAATAAGCAACACTAATGCAAGACATAATAACTATGTGTGTGTTCAGGTGTTTTTATGTTCAATCCTCTGTTTTGAATGTTTATATTAAAATAAACCAATAGTTACCAACAAGGATCTATACCTTGTTTACATGTCTCTTCCAGGATCTGGAAATAAAGGAAGTCAAGAAAAGCTTTATGCATCACATGAAGGATGTTACAACTCATCAAAAACAAATCACTGCCATGGTGAATTTCATTGGAATTTTTTAATGGTTGATTTTTTTTTAGAAAATATTGTAAGAAAGAGGTTTTTCATCAAGACTGCATTGAATGTAAATATGTGCTTTTCTTGTAATATACAATTTGCATGAATGTTCAGACTTGTTTCAGTAATCTTTCTGTATAACTTTAATGTATAGGAAACTCAGTTGGAGCAAAAGAGAGCAGATCGTCACAGTCTCTTAAAGTCATGCAAGGTAATAATGACAGTTATCTGAGTGCTGATAATGGAGCATTTATTTTAGTTATGTTGTTTTTGTGTTTCGATGCACTCCATTGGATGATGGCTTAGGATGAATTTCTTAGTGAAGATCCTCACTTACTCAACCACTTAATGACTCATTTTATGTGCTTGTATTTGCATTTTTTAAATCTAATTTTCCTCTTTGGTTACATTTTGTAATATGACAATGACAGATGGAAGACATCTTCCTTCCCTTCAAAAAGGGAGGAATGAATGATATTGATCTTGGAGAACCTTCAAGTAGTCAGCCAGAAATGTCAAGTCAGGACCGAGGAGAATCATCATCAATGGAAATTGACAGCACAAGCACACAGGTAATCTCCACTGCTGACCCTTGCAGGGTACACAGAACCACTTGGAAAATTGTTACATGAAAACCAAAATTCTCTTTGTGGCCATCTAGAACATCATTGTAAACAAACTTGATGCCTGTCTTTGTATTCATCAAACTTTTCTTCTTTTACTTTGGGGGGTGACTAGGTTCAGAATAATTATAGGATTGATCAATAAGGGGAGATGAGTTGTTGATTTTAATGTGAATGATACTTTACTGCAGTTCTCGTTTGATTATTTATGTTCAGTCCATTGATATGGATTTTCTGCCCACAGGGGGCCAAGATCACTTATGAGAGGGAGGCCAATCTAATTATTGACTACTCTTCACTTGGTCGAAGCTTAAAGCAGGTGTGTTCAGTACAACATGTCAGTTACTAGGTGCCAGTCTCTCTTGACCATTGTTCTAACTGCTTTTGTTACTGATCAGCTTGAAGACCCATCAGAAATCCGGAACACAATGAATGAGCTGGCAAACAAGGTGAACAAGCTGCAGGCAACTTTACAGAGGATACAGGCTCCAAATATGAAGGCACTTGAGAAGTAAGCAATTTTCCACCAAATGAAAAAGGTGTTGTATGAACAGGATAACAGAGAAAGATAATAAATATAAATACGATATTGAATGGATTTAATATACTTTTTAACATTCAGTAGCATTTGCCCTCTAATTTGGAAAACTTAATCAAGGTAGCAATCAACCTTCCTCTTTCTTTTCAGATTATCTAGATAAAGCAAGGTTAACATCACATAGAAGGTAGCTAAATGTTAATTGATAATTTTTTTTCAATTTAGATTGGATGGAGTAAGTAGTCGATTTCAAGAGACAAGTGCTGAGTTTGAGCAAGCGCGAAACAAAGCAAGAAAGGCCAAGATTGAGTTTGAAACTGTCAAGAAAAATAGGTCAGCCATGAGTTGCATTGACAGTATCATGCCATGGTTTTTATAAGGCTCATCAAATGAGACACCTGGAAGTATCTCAACATAGAAATAACACTAATGTTTTAAAAGGTTTTTTGGATAGTGGGCAAGCATTCTTTTGTCTCAAATGCCTCATCTTTTTTGTTGTTGTTCAGTTTGGAAAGGTAACTTGCTATAGGGCATTCTTTTTTGGTGGGTGGGAAGTAGGATAGTGTAGTAGCACAAGAGTTAGTGCTGGGACTAAAACCCCTCAGTACCCTAAATGCGATCTCTTTTGCTGTCTAACTAATATGCTCCTGGGAAAAAGGAGCCCTAGTGGCAGCTTAATGTAGAAGTAAATTTTCCCCCCCCCTCGGTGAAAAAATCCACTATTACTTTGATTGCCAACTGAATAGTGCTAATCCTTTGTTATTATTGGTCAGGTATGACCGGTTTATGGATGCATTTGAACATGTTTCACAAAGAATAGATGACATATACAAGGTAACTGAGGATTATAGTTAAGTTGTGACATGATAGAGAGTTCTTGTAGAATGGTTCTTCATCATGTGATATTGTCACTTCATTAAGTTGTAAAAGAAATCACTCTAACTTTTAACTCTCAACACAACATAAATTTTTTTGAATAAGTTTCTTTAAGCTGGTTATTTCTTTTGTTTTCTGTGACATTGATTAGTCATTTTACAGTTACTTTGTATATCAATTATTATTTGGGTGGCTTGTTTTGCAATGAAGTAAGAATCAAAGCAACTATGTGTGATAAAAAAGTCACTCACTTATATATCCTGTCCACAGGAGTTGGCCAATAATCCTAGTGCCCAAGCATTCCTTGGACCAGAGGATGCAGAGGTGTGACTGTTACATTAAGGAAAAACCTGTTTGTCTTATTTTAGTAAACTTTGAGCAAGAGAATATGAGTGATTAAGTAAATACTAGTAGTTATTTAGCTACTTTGTGTTTTGAAAAATTAATTCTTTTATGTTTTTGCAGGAACCCTATCTTGGAGGAATCAATTACAACTGTGTAGCACCAGGGAAAAGGTGTTATTGCCCAGTCACCTCTTACTTATTTCTTCTTACTGTTACTTATCATACAGATATATGAGACACCTTTAGGCAGGTTATTTTAGCCTTCTCTGAGGGAAAAAAGAAATATGTGATACATTACTTTCCTTGCATTCATACGAGTTATACATTATCTTTCTAACTACTTAGGTTTCGACCAATGGATAATTTATCAGGTGGAGAGAAGACTGTTGCTGCACTTGCTCTTCTCTTCAGTATTCACAGGTAAATTAAGTTAAAGGTCATGATACACTTGGCAATGACAGGTTATAACAATTTGCTTTTGTGTGACTTAGAATCTTTGTGGCTGCCACAGAATGTTGTCAAGGTAACGGAGATGCATAAATTTAAAATGGTTTCATTTGGTGCAACAATTGTAGCCATGAATCAAGTTAAGAGTCTTGAATAAGCTACACTGTGATAATAGCAACCACTACCACAAGCATGTCATAAGTGTCATCTATCATTTTTAGTTTGTATTTTCTCAGCAGTTTTCTACGGTGGCCCATAGAGGACATGCCACATTTTTTTATTGCATGATAAAATCAAATATCGTGTGATAACTGATAAATTATTGCACGATAAATGAAAAATTAGTGTGCAATAAATAAAAATTATCGCACCATAATTAATCATTTATTGTGCGATAATTAATCATTTATTGTGCGATAAATGGGAAAGATGTTAGGTCACTTAATCGGCTGTCATGCACATTGTTTCCATGGACAACAATGGTTGCCACAGTTGAGGAGGTAGGTTTTGAGGTCAATAGTTCATTTTAATTAAGTAAAGAGATCATTTAGCAGTACTTTGCAATACTTCTATGACACATAGCTCTGTGAATCAGTGCAGTAAACCTTGAATTTGCTAAATCTTACGAGACACTTTTAGGGATGGCCGTCAGTGTCTGAGAACGAGAGTGGATTATCTAATCCATCTCATTTTGCGAATTACAGTAAACTCAGCAGCCAACAATTTATTTCGCTTCACTGTCACCATTTTGTTTCTATTGACCTCAAAACATACCTCCTCAACTGTGGCAGCCATTGTCATCCGCAGAGACAACATGCGTAACAGCCGATTACGTGGCCTAACATGTTTCCCATTTATCATGCAATATTTTGATTTTATTGCGCGATAAAAAAAAAAATGTGGCAGGTCCTCTATGGGCCACCATAGTTTCCAGATAATTTCAGGAGATCATTGATTCATAAAAGTGGGCTAAAGAATAGCTTTTTCAATGTTTTTATTTTGATTTATTTCTTGAATCTCTCAAGCTACCAGCCTGCCCCATTCTTTGTTTTGGATGAAATAGATGCAGCCCTGGACAACACTAACATCAACAAGGTGAATATGTCCAATGCTAATGTTCACTTATTGTTCATTTTACACCCAAACTTCCCATTACACATCTCTGCAAGTTCTTAGAGAGGTTGAGCATAACTTTTACAGCAAATGCCAAAAATTTCTTCCCTTTGTCTTTTTGTCAATTGTTACAGCACGTAATTCATATAAGATGGGATATATCTTATGCTTGATGTATGGAAAATGCTAAATATTATTGCTTTGTGATAGTCTAATTTTCTATTATCTGCCCCCTTTTTGGTTGTCAAGCTAACCTTTTACATTTCAATAGGAATTTCTGTGTAAAATGCAACCAGGGCATATGTTTAACAAGAACATCTGTGAATGAGGTGGTAACCATTCACAGCACGTAATTCATATAAGATGGGATATATCTTATGCTTGATGTATGGAAAATGCTAAATATTATTGCACAAGAATTAATGTCTGTACTTCCAAATCAGTAGATTTTTGGTACCTTGTCAAGTCAATTCTCTGCATAATTAGCAATAATGAAAACTTTTATTTGTTTAACGGTTTAGCTAAGGTAAAGTGTTATGATGAAAATATCACTTCTTTCTTCCTACCCACACAATTAAAATTTTTTACTTATGTAATTAATGCTGTTTCTTAAGGTTGCAAGGTACATTATTAACGAAACCAGAGAGCATTTTCAGTGCATTGTGATTTCACTTAAAGAAGAGTTCTACACAAGAGCTGAAGCTCTTATTGGAATCACTGCGGAGGTTAGTGTTTAATGCCAAGAACCTCTTTGTTTGTTTGTTATTTCTTTTATTGGGTCAATTTCATGATTCAGCAACATGTCTTGGCAGTGCTTTTATGAACTCCATACAAAGGAGCACAGCCACTTACCCTTAATTCTCTCCTCTGTATTCATTACATTTCTTACACTTTATTGCACACTGCTTACCCCCTTTCTTTGCTCCTTACTTCTTGTCCTCTATTAAAAAGAAGTATATATATACTACTAAATGTAATGACACAGATAAACAGTATCAAGTATAGCTGATGCTTTTTTATTTCAACATTAATCAAAAATGGAAAACCTTTTCCATGTGTTGCTCTCTCCTTGACTTTCATATTCAATTTTCTCTGCAGCCTGATAAGGACTGTACAGTGAGTCGAGTGTTTACTTTGGACTTGACTCAGTATCCTGAGTAGCAGAAACAATAAAGTGGATACATAAGCTTGTTAGGGTTAGGAACACTTTCATTCTGAATAAAATCATACTTAGTTTGGCGAATCTGTGTTATGTCTTGTTTTTTGTTTTAAAGTTTTGGAAAATGAATTGTAAAGTATGGAAGATGGGGTGGCTCTGTGGTTAGTTTGATGGTAAGAGGATCGAGAAGTTATGATAAACACACTAAAGGCATAATTTGTGCTGTGCTTTGTGGAAGGGATAAGCTTCTTTAATTGTTACTAAGTGAATTTTGAATTGGTGTGGAGGTAGTGTAAAGATCTTTTTTTGGATGGAATATTTCCTATCTGTGAATTCTTCACTTTAAAGGTGGGTTATGTACAGTGATGGTTGGGGTGAGTGTAGTCCAGAGAAGGACTGTTGTTTATAGTAGTGACTGATGTTTCGATGACCTGAATAGAAGTAATTATCAGAGTAGAGTTGAGTTCATCTTGTCTCTGCTGATGGCTTCGGCTTGGGTCATTGAATAATCAGTTACCACAAACAACAGTCCTTCTTAGACTACACTCACCCAAACAATCAAACTACAGGATTACATGTAACCCACAGGTTCAAACCGGTTACTGTGTAGGTGCTTGCTTTTCAGGTAGTAGAGGGACACTGAAGACTAAAGGATGCTTAATTCTCTTTCATTTCATCTTCTTTTCATATTTAAAATTTAGTTGAGTTTTTAATTCAATTTGCTCCTTATATACTCTCCTTCATTATTCTGGTGGGTAGTTACCCCCCTAAAACTTGTTTTAGGAGGTAATGTTGCATAGTTTCAGTTTAAACTTTTTTTTCTTTCCAAAAATTCATTGTAGCTTTTAAATTACTCTGTTTCCTCATGCCTTTACTCAAGAAGAATAAAAATGAATGGAAGACTTTTCCATGTCATTTTCAGTTATTTACATCCAGGAAACTTAAGTTTGTGTTTATGTTGTAGAGTTTAGTGTTAGTGTTGTGGATTTTGTGATTTTGTTTAAGTTTGTATTTGTGTTGTAGAGTTTTGTGGTAGTGCTGCGGATTTTGTGATTCTGTTTAAAGTTTGTGTTTGTGTTGTAGAGTTTTGTGTTAGTGTTGCAGATTTTGTGATTCTGTTTTAAGTTTGTGTTTGTGTTGTAGGTTTTGTGACTCTGTTTTGTTCTTACCAACCACTGTAGATATTAAATCTGTACACATGTGAAATTCCTAAACACAACTTATCAAAATCCTGTATCTTGACCCTTTAAATCTCCCTACAATATTACACCTGAATCACACATTAAAGTCATGAGAATATAGGAAATGATCATCAACAAATAAAGCTTTTGATTGGTAAACAAATTCTCCTTTTCAGCACCTTAGGAAATGTATAAAGAGCAGTATGGAGAATATGCATACAGATTTGAGGGTGTAAAGCGGTAATGCATTTGAAACAAATTTAGTGTCAAAGTAATATGTAAATAGTATACTGTACTGCTTGAATGGTTTGCACTTAGAGAGTTTGTTTCAAAGCTGTACATCAATATTTCTACAACCATTTTTTATATCTTTTTATAAGGGGTTATTAGCTTTTCACCAATTAAGCACTGCTATTATGGACTCAGATCTAACAGGTTGAGAATAAACAAGTCCCCTGACCTGCTCCAATGCCTTTTAGAGGATGTTTCATAGATGTGCTCATAGACCCTGCATGAAAACGAGGCTACTTCATAAAACAACTGATAACTTCTTTTATTATGGGCCATATTGCACCAAAATAGTACCAGTTATAAATCTACGTTGTCGTCATCATGAATGCATGTTTAGTAACTGTGAGTAACAAGATTAGTCACGTGACTAAGAGAGCATGAAGGTGAGGCTGGTCTTCTAAAATTTCTTTTGACTCTCCTTCAGTGTCTAAAATGCTTAATTGTACTTCATAAGCGGCGTAAATATTTCTTTGAGCTCAAACTGTTCCTTTTCGAGAATTTCAAGAACACCAGAGCGCGGCTGTGATATTTGGATTTGCGATTTGGGACTGGCAGCGTCCTTTTGCGAAACCTAATCGCTCAAAACGTCAGAATCATATTCAATAACCATTTTCTTCCTTATCACTCGTTACTATCGCCAGAATCGTCGTCTTCATCACTTCGCACATTTTCACATGGCTCTCCACTATCTTCAAAGATCCGTGCAGTTCAGCCCATTCTTTCTACACTAGCAGCGGT